GTACCTCACAGTCAGCAGACAGATTCCAGCCAATCAGCAGCAGACCCTCCCTCCCAGACCCTCCCACCTCCTGGATAGCTCACTAAGAATGCAGCTTCACAATGAATGTAAAATGGATGCTGTCCAGGAGGTGGGAGGGTCTGAGAGGGAGGGTCTGCTGCTGATTGGCTGGAATGTGTCTGCTGACTGTGAGGTACAGGGTCAAAGTTTACTCAATAATGAGTCCGTGGCGAACCGTTCGTGGCGAACCGTTCGCGAACCGTTCGGCGAACAGTTCGGGACATCACTATTGGAGAAACCCTTAACCCCTTAAGGACCAAACTTCTGGAATAAAATGGAATCATGACATGTCACACATGGGGGCGGACCGGACAGCGCATATGTTCGCAGCCCGTGGCGAACCGTTCAGCGAACCGTTCGGGACATCACTAATAATCAACAATGCCACTACATAACACAGACAGAGATGTGGCCTAGCTCTGTATTTGGAAACATTCTGAGTTGGGTGTGCCAATCAAGCTTGTCTTCTGTGCATATAGTAGAATATATCTGCCCTCACACTCCGCCTTGCTATTTCACCCAAATCAGCTAACACAATCCCAGTTTGGGATTGATACAACCCTCTGCCCACTTGTTTGATTGTAATGCCATGTTATCTTATAATGCCCAATAAGTCTAGGATTTTTGGACGTTATAGTACCAATGGTGAGGTGAATTAAGTTGTAAAGGTAAACCTTTGTTAAAATTGGTCTGCTGGGAATTTAAATTCAATAGCAGTCACAGAATCTAAAATAGCTACAGAAAAGTATATCTTTGTAAAAAGTAGACCCCCAGGGTATTTATTAAGGAGCATTTTGACACTTCACATATAACTATTTTTATCACAAACTCCTTAAAGGTCCAGCTAGGGTTAACCCACTTTTTCATAAACATAGCAGTTTCAGAGAAACTGTTATGTTTATGAATGGGGTAAGCCTTCCCCTATTTCCTCTAGCGGCTGTCTCATTGACAGCCGCTAGAGGCGCTTGCGTGCTTCTCACTGTGATTTTCACAGTGAGAGCACGCCAGCGTCCATAGGAAAGCATTATGAATGCTTTCCTATGTGACCAGCTGAATGCGCACGCAGCTCTTGCCGCGCGTGCGCATTCAGCCGATGGGGCGGATCGGAGGAGGAGAGAAGGAGGAGAGCTCTCCGCCCAGCGCTGGAAAAAGGTAAGTTTTTACCCCTTTCCCCTTCCAGAGCCGGGCGGGAGGGGGTCCCTGAGGGTGGGGGCACCCTCAGGGCACTATAGTGCCAGGAAAACGAGTATGTTTTCCTGGCACTATAGTGGTCCTTTAATTTTAAATTTGTTTGTGTGTTGTAACAGGTTTCATTTTCATAGGAAATTTCACAGACAATGTGTGTATTACTACTAGAACAAAAAAAAAAACTGATTTCTATTTTATTGCTGTCCCAAGTATGGGAATAATCCCAATGAAGACTTTTATCAGATTTTTGAAAAGTTATAGGGTTAAATTATAGACAGTGCAACATCAGTTTTCAAACTTCCAATTTTGACAGATTAATGTACTGGCACCATGTTCTTTTTTGGGACAAAACAGAAGCCCCAACTCATGGCATGCTGTATTGAACTGGAAATAAACTATGTGTTAAACTCCCTCGGAACAGACTGTACCCATGAATTCCCCTCTAATTTCGTCCCATTTCTACCAAATGTTCTACCATTCCTTTTTGTTCAGTATTTTTATTTAACCAAACCCTGACCACCCCCTGGCTCGTTAACTTCAAAGCAACCACAAGGTTAAGTGTTTTTTGTGGGTGGCCACCATTCGTGTAACCGAACAACATGTGCTCTAACAAATGGTGACTATTTTGTCTCCCAAAAGCAGGCAGTGGGACTAGGTCATTGATTGCCTGGAACTCTCTGTCTGACACTATGCCTTGCAAACACCGGTAAAATCATATCGTTGCCTGCTTCGTGTCCAGACAAGCCAGAAGAGCGCTTTTCAGGGAAAACATTCCCTCGAACAAGGGGAACATTCGCTTCATATGAATCAGGGGGAAACTTTGTTTATGTTCATATAGGAACTTTACCCCGGTGGCGATTCGGCTATACTATACTGATCCGAGCGCTATTTGGACAACTTGGGAACTCTGATCCAGGCTATAACACTTGTAGGTTTTTTTTTTTAACCGTGTATGTATTGTGGGGTGTTTTGTGTTTTGTAAGGTACCTCGAGTGCCTGGGAGATAATTAGTTCAAGGAAAAGCTAGCTCTCTTATCTCCCACACACAGAGACGCCAGGGTGGGTTTACTATAAAGCTGATTGGAGACCCCATGCTGAGGATCTGCGTATATAACCTGGCAACTTGGCCCTGATAAAACATTCTGATTTACCCTTCTTTATTATTATTATTATAATATTAATTATATAGCGCCAGCATATTCCGTAGCGCTGTACAATAGGATCACGTTTTGGCTGATGTTTGGGAACATAAGAGATATATCACACTTTCACTCTGCAGGACTAGGGAGACTCTTTAGCGGATATACTCAGTTGGACTATAGGGGATCCGTTACACATGCCCGTTGCAAAAGAAGACAACTTGGACTATTTAATATGGGGCACGAGTTTGTTCACTTGGCCATTTTATCATCAATTTCAGCTGTATTTTAGGGTAAATATTATTCTTAATATTTTTTCAGATGCATAATAAATTGTACTGTACCCAAATGCTTTGTGCATCATACTATTTCAAAGACAGCATTTTGCTTCAACTCCTGAGTACAGCAATAGCCTACTCAGGAGATTAAACAAAATTCAAGCTATACCTTTCTCAAATATGTTGGGAACTTATAGGTGACATTTCAAAATTTATTTATTTTTTTAAATTCTTTATTTTTGCAACGGTATGGAGTAGACAATGCATAAGGTTTGGCTCGTGCAAGAGCGTTTCAATAGTACATACACATGCCAGGTACATATGAAGATTTTTAACATCTCTACTTTCATCCGTTGTGGTTGTTGGTATTATTGTTTCAACAAGAACAGTGTGTACAGAAAAACAAAATAACTGAACTGTGGGCCGGGATACCGGTCATCTCGGTCCAAACGGTCGTGGGCCGGGTGGGGGGAGAGAAGTTGAGGTAGATTGGGGGGGGGGCAAGGTGTGGGGGGGGTTACTGCAGTCCATCGTTAGCGTTTGCGACTCCTTTCTGCTACATGGTCTTAATTGGTCTTACTGGTCATTATAGGTCTCCCACGGTTCCCACGTCTTAGTAAAAGCTTTGGTTGTGCCCCTAATTTGGGCCGTGAGTTTGTCCATTAAGTGGCATTCTTTGATTTTGTTAATCACTATTGCTACTGAGGGGGTGTCCTGCTGTAGCCAGATCTGGGCTATCGCTCTCCTGGCCGCTAAGGTTATTTTGTTAAACAGATGCTGGTTTGGTTTAGACCAATTCTCCTGAGGTCTGGCCAGTAGGAACGTCCAAGGGTTCAGTGTCACTGGCCTATCAAATATTTGGGTCATGAGGGTTTGAATGGCCGTCCAGTAAATTTTAATCTTAGGGCAGTGCCACCACATATGGGTATATGTCCCTCTCTCCCCACAATTGCGCCAGCAAAGGTCTGTGAGTGTTTTTGTCATGTGATATAGCTGAACAGGGGTGGTATACCACCTGAACATCGTTTTGTAGGCCTGCTCTTGCATCGTGACGCAAATAGAGGTTTTAGCAGTGGCCTGCCATATGTCCTGCCAGTCTATCCCCTCTAATGTTTCCCCAAGGTCAGTTTCCCACTTGTCTGTGTAGTGGAGGGCGCCCCAGTCCCGTGTAGTGGAGCAGAGATGGGAGTACAAGAGGGAGATCAATCCCTTTTGGTAGCGTTCGGCCAGGCATATGTTTTCAAAGAATGTTGGTTTAGCTAGTGCAGCTCTTTTAACAGATTCTTGGGTAGCATAATGTCTTAGCTGGAGGTACCTAAAGAAATCTGCGGGGGTTAGGGTTGTTCTGGTTTGTAATTCAGCGAAGGTGATTATGTCGTGACCTGTGTAGAGTTGATGAATTCTTTGTAGGTCTGCATTTTCCAGGCCTTTGAAATCTCTGGGTCTCATGCCTGGAATAAATGCCCTGACATTTCAAAATTTTGACATGCCAATTTTCATGCGTTTCAGAAAACATATCTGTGTCACCTTATTGAGTAGTGTCAAACTCTATTTCAACCTCTGGCTAACCCTATCCCAACCTAACCCTAACTAACTGTAACCCTATCTATTGTTAGCCCAGCCCATAGCATCCAAAGGACTATTTATGTGATTTCTAATTAATGAAACTTTCAGAAATAGCCAGGCCTCGTGTCTCACTGGAACACCGGCTTTTTTTATTGTAATTTTTATCGGCGTTGTACCCTGTACAATACATCATTGGTCATTAAGTCCCAAAGTACATAAGTCTTTCTTAACTTTTTTTCCCCCTACTAAATACTTCTTTAAAAAAATAAATAAAAAAAAATACATGTTGCACTGGTACACCCATAACATTACAAGACCCTACTGGCACCAGGCTGGGTATCTACCTCTATCTCTATACCCATCAGTGGACAAGGGCAGGACAGAGACTGCAAGCCATGGGCTGCCAGTTCCTGTTCTCTGATTGTCAGCACACTGGGATCAAATTGTCTAAGAACCCCCTTCCCTTAAAAAACAAAGCTCTAAATTCCAATAAACTGTTATTTCCTCAGTACTGCAGTACTACAGAGATTAACTGCTGGCAACACTAGCTGTTTTCCATAAATAATAACAGGGATATGGGATATACAAGACACTAGTTTTGTTTCCTAAAGTCAATAATCTCAGCTGTCAGAGAAGTTTTGATGACAATACCGACTGTTGGCAGTAGATGGCGCTCAAGCACACACTGTCCCTGGCCAATCTCTATGGTGCGCCTTAACTCCCACAGCGCGGCATTAGAGACCGTCTCCTAGCAACGCGTTACCCTTGGCAACGAGACGCGGCCTGGCTGCTCCCCATAGGCTCCGGTTGTCCGCTTAGCAAGGTTATAACGCTGGGGAGATACCGGGGCCATGTCGGAGATCATCTGCCAGTGGCTGAACGTAGAGCTGGGTCTCTCCAAGCGAGTCGGTGAGTGAAGAACATTCATGGCAGCAAGGGGGTCCAGGCTGCTATAGAACTACAACTCCCATGATGCTCAGCGAAACAGCTTGAGAGTTTTAGCTCTATAACATCTGGAGGGGAGCTTTCTATCCTTTGGGCTTCCCATCTCTGCCCCCCATAATGTAAGGGGAATTATTTTGTAACTGCTGGAACACTCATGGTTAAAGAGGCACTCCAGGGACCATAACAACTTAATGTAGATGAAGTTGTTATGGTGCCTTCAGCAGCCTAAGCTATCCCTTTAAATTTGCCAACTGCATCCCCTGCGCATGTATCATCCATAAATCTGCTACAATCCATAAAGCTGTTACTTATCTGATCAGTTAATTTATTGCCCTTGTTGTTTTTTGTTTTTTTTTTATGTATTTATTCTTATTATGTGCATGGATTATATTTGGAAGATCTCTTACTCACCCACCAATTTGCTGTAGGCTAGCTGATTGTGTTTGGAATGGTAGTCTTCAAAAAAATTTTTTTTTTTAGTCTTCAGAATAATAGAGGTAATAGCTGTCTACTAAAACAGGTACAGAGTTAATAATTAAAAAAATTTTTTTTTTTTTTAAATAGCAAATTGAAATATGAATAATAAAAGTGAGGCAGTAATTCTGATGTGAAATAATAAATACTCCAACTCAACTCTAGTCAAAGCTTGGCTATTGTAGCCTCAGTTTTGTTTGCTATTTGTAGTTTAATATGCTACAGTTTTGAGTTTAGCAAACAAGCCCCTCAGGAATAAACACTAAACTAAGAACAGTAGCAATTTATAATCCACATAGTAAACATTTATGGTACATTTGCTCATTTGAAAAAACAAATATCCAACTACTCTATAGTCACAATTTAGTTATTTGATTATCATTTTTGCTTTATTTTGAAGTTAAAGGGACACTAGAGGCCTCAAAATAACTTTAGAGTAATGAAGTATAGATCATGCCCCTGCAGTCTCAGAGCTAAATTCCCTGCAATTTAGGAGTTGCAATCAGCCCTTTTAGCAGTGAGACATCAGAAGAATGATCTATAACAAAAATGGCTTCATTTAGGTGGCTATAGTGTCCCTTTAACTGAATAAACCTGCCAAGTGTGAACTGATGTGCCAGAATAGCCAAACTAAAAACATAACTGATTTGGAGATTTTATTTATAACTATGTTTGCCTAAAACCTCTTTTGAATTCCCATCAAATCACATTTTAATGAAAAAGCCTGATAACTATCTTTTGCCAAGCTGTCAAATAGGCTCTGATCCAAGATAATTATTGTTTATATACAATGGCTTACATAATAAATTAAAAAACAAAAATAATTTACAATAAATAATTTATATATTTATAGTTATTATTATTATTTCTGTTATTATTTATAAATTCTTCAGCGCTGTACAATAGGTGGACTAATAAACAAGTAATTGCAACAAGATCAGGACGTACAGGAACAGATGATGCTGAGGGCCCAGGTCAAACTGGCTTACATTCTAACTATGTTTTTCTTTTTATGAAACCCATTTTGTATTTACAGTAATTTCAATATAAAAAAAAAAAAGAAAACTAGATCCTTTATACCATTATTGTTATATTTTAAAAAATCCCAGTTTTTAACAAAAAATAGATAACAGCCAGCTGCAAGATCACAGATCGTGCACAGTTTTGGGAATCTGTGATTTTAGTCAGCCCTATAATATCAACTGCTCTTCATGAAGGTCATCAATAAATGACAGCTCCAACAAGATGGCAATGGTATTAAACACCCACAGCGCCCCTATTAATTTGAGAACTCACTACATAAGGGTTAGAAGTTAGTCACATTGCAAAGTGCACCAAACAAACTCTATGTTTAGGGGATGTGCCCCACCTCCTAAACACACAAGTGCGAGTGCAGCGTTATTTAAATGTTACTTACCCCTTTTTATCTTGTATGGGGTATATAGACATATGTAAAGGGAGAAAATATACAGAGAATTTGGTGCAATATGTTTTAACAATATCCAATGGAGTTCAAAAATATATATATAATCTCACTCACATGTTATAGAGCCTTTTGGATATAGGCTCTAAAATCTGAGCATGTGGGGCCCTTTAAGGTGGCTTCCAAACCTTCTTCTATAGTATTTTACTTTCCTCAGGATTTTATGAAAGACATAAATAATACAACCATCTAGGTACTAGTAGTTCTACTTAAATAGCACAATTGAAATGAAGAATTGCAAGAAAATTTGCTCACCTTTTTAGGAGCCTGTTTAATATAACTGGCTCCTAACTTTCAGCGTGGTGTCAATTTTCGGGGTGACACTCCCCTATTAGAACCGTGGAAACTTGATGTAAACGAATAGAGATAAAATAAATAAATTGTAAGGAATTTATTTACCAATTAAAATTAAAACAGAGTATTAAAACTCCACAAATAAAACAAAGCAGTAATGCAGGTAAAAAGTCCTTTTAGCAGGGTTTCACCAAGACGCGTTTCGCCGTGCAGGCTTTTTCAACCGGTGTGTTTTCCATTCTTCCCAGTTCCATTTTAAACGTCTTGTGGCTCCTCCTCCTTCTTATGTATTTCCTGTATTTTCGTTTTGATGCATGCGTTCTGAGTTGGACTGTTTCCGAGATAGTAGTCTCTTGTTGTAAGTCCTATACGAACTACATTACCCTCAATACCTCTCAAAACACATCCGGTTTCTCGGAGTGATGTGTTTTGAATTGTGGGAATATACACGTGTATAACGGCATAGAATGAAAGAAAGGATACTTTTGAAACAGTTAGTAAGATGGTGCTTATCAAGATAAGGACATTACAATTAAAGGGACACTACAGTCACCAGAACAACTACAGCTTATTGAATTTGTTCTGGTGAGAATTTGTTCTCATTACCTTATAGAGAAAATGCAGTGTTTACATTACAGCCTAGTGATAACTTCACTGGCCACTCCTTAGATGTCTATTATAAATCCTTCCTGGGTCATGGCTGCCTAAAATGCATCCAAACATTCAGTGTCTCCTCCCTCTGCATGCAGACACTGAACTTTCCTCATAGAGATTCATTGATTCATTCATCTCTATGAGGAGATGCTGACTGGCCAGGGCTGTGTTTGAATCATGCTGGCTCTGCCCCAGATCTGCATCTTTGTCAGTCTCAGCCATGGTTCTTTTTATTTGTTTTTCATTTTTGTTATAATTGCATATGAAGGGGACTAAACATCCACAGCGCCCCTATTAATTTGAGAAATCACCCCACAAGGGTTAGAAGTTAGTCACATTGCAAAGTGCATCTTATGTGATTAGACCTTTAAAGGGGTTAAAAGGACATGATCGGCACCCAGACACTTCATCTCAGTGGACTGAGAACATGCAACTGAAAACATTGCTGTTTCGCAAGAATGCCCATGTTTTCATTTGACGGTTAACATGCAATCAGTGTGATAGCCACTAGAGGTGCTTCCACCTTAATTAAAGTTAAACTCAGCTATTTCAATCAGATGGTCTCACAGAGACCATTTGATTGGCACAGCGTTTTGCCGCACATGCCACTAGCCTTCCATTGTTTGAATGTGGGGATTGGCTGAAAACATCTACACTGTTGATGTCAGCCAAAGAGGTGGAGCGTGATCATGGGAGCCAGCATATCGAGGTCTAAAAGATAAGTAATAATGACCTTTAAAAACTTCACATAGTAGGGGGGCACCCCTACAGGTAGAAGGACACTAGCCGTTAGGAATACATGTTTGGAATTCAAACACTATAATGTTCCTTTAAAGGTTTTGGGAAATTGTCCAGTGTTCACAGGCTGCCCAGTCTCTGGAAAAAATAAAAGGGGAGGAGATTTTAGTAATTATTGCTTTTTTCCACTGATGCTAAGCATACAAGGGTTCCTAGAAGCAGAGGCGGCTCTCTAATTAGTCCATTTAGGCGGCCGCCTAATGCCACACGCTGGCTGGGGCTTCGCGGCTGCCTAAATTGCCTTAGGGCAGAGTGACTTGTCAGGCTCTCGATCCTACCTGAGTCATGGCTGCCTAAAATGCATCCAAACATTCAGTATCTCCTTCCTCTACACGCAGACACTGAACTTTCCTCATAGAGATTCATTGATTCAATTCACCTCTATGAGGAGATGGTGATTGGCCAGGGATTTGTTTGAATTGTGCTAACTCTGCCCCTGATCTGCCTCCTTGTCAGTCTCAGCCAATCCTATGGTGAAACATTGTGATTGGATCAGGCTACTAGTTCTGATGATGTCAGCAGGCAGTGGGCAGGTCTAAAGGAAACAGTGAAAAACCCAGCAGCTTCAGGCTTGAATACAAGTGAGATTTTAATATTTTTAGGGTGGAATTGGGGGTTCAGGGGGCTAGATGGTGTGTCAAGAACATGTTTGTGTTCTTGTCCCTATAGTGCTCGTTTAACAAAAATAAAGCCAAAATGGAAAAGACGTGTGAAAAACTAAGTATACTATATGATTCAATGGCTTGTAGTACCACCTTTAGCAGTAATAGATTGAAGTAATTATTAGTATCTCATATCATTGGTGAGGCATGTTGGCCCACTCTTCTTTACATGTTATTCAATTTATTGAGATTAGCTGGTATTTGTTTATGCACAACTCTCTTAAGGTCCTGCCACACCAATTCAATTGGGTTGAGGTCTGTACTTTGACTGGGCCATTGCAACACCTTGATTCTTTTCTATTTTAGCCATTCTGTTGTAGATTTGCTGTTGTGCTTGGGATCAATTTGATCCAATTTCAGCCAAGCTTGAATTGTTAGACAGATGGCCTCACATTTGACATGCTTTGGTATACAGAGGAGTTGTATATTTTTATCAATTAAATCATGACACGGTGTAATATATCATATGTGTTGTTGTACATCTGAGGTTGTATTTACCTAATTTAAAGATCAGTTTAAGAAAAGATAATTATTATCATGTCCTGATTTGTAAAAACCATAGAATTCAAAGAGGGTGTACTTTCTTTTTTCCTATGACTGTATTTAAAAATCCATACTAAGCTGAATTACATAGATCAAATGTAGTTATAGTTACTAAGGATATAAAAGTTATGTAAAAGATGGGTTGGGGTGTAAAGGCAAACTGGTCTTGTCAAAGATAGGCCCCCCTGTGCTAAAAGTCGCCAGCCCACCCCCGACCTTGACACTTGTAAATGATTTTTGAGAACTTAGGACTTGTAAATGATATACCCTACATTTAATAATACTCTTTAAGATACATTTCTGTTTTCTACATAATTATCAAAACATTGGCCTTATAGTACCTTTTACGTTCCCCAGAGTTTCTTCTCTGTTTATTTTACAGAGACTGTTGTGTTCACAAGTAAGAGCTTCAGGCAGAATAATTCTCACAAGGATTCCAGAGAGACAGGGGTGACAATATCTAATGAGTTTAAAGGCCACTATTATTAGTATTATTAATAAACTGTAAGACACTGTCAAAATATATATGTGTGTGTGTGTGTGTGTGTGTGTGTGTGTGTGTGTATTGATGTATAATATAAAAAAAAAAAGAATTTTAACTAAAAGTTTATGCATTGAACTAGCAAGACACGTCCTTGGGTAACACTGTGTTTATTAAAATTGTGGTTATTTTTAGTTAGAATAACGCACTATTGATTGATAATGGCATGGAGAATGAAACTATAACTAGTTAGAGGTGGATGATGCGTTATAATGGTATTGGTGCATTTTAAAATTCAAATTTCCATCTCTACATTTTATAAATACTTCTGATTTTTGGCAAACCAGGTACATTATATTTACTGTTTTAAAACTACAGCTTCCATGATGCTTTGTCATGCTAATTGCATATAAAGCATCATGGGAGTTGTAGTTCTACAACATCTGGGGATCAACCTTTTGGGGAACCCCTCCTTTAAGGTGTTTGATTCTGTTTTGGTTTTGAATATTTTTATTGTTTTCACAATATAAGTGCATATTGCGAACTGGTTCGTAATAAAGCAAGAGGTTGCCCACGCAGGGGCTTAAGCAGTAATTTATAGCATTCATTAAGGTGAAACGTCGCCTACACAGAGGCTTGAATGTTAGCACATAGGAATAAATGCAGATTATCGCCTGCGCAGAGGCGTATTGATCAAAACATATAGGCGTACTTGAACTTTGAAGGGATACAGCATAAACTGCATGTACTGAGCTAATGCTACACACCAGGCTGGCTTCACTTGAATGTTAAGCTTCATGGTCATTTACCTTAAAACAGCGGTTTATGAGTCTTATGCACCTATTTCGCTCCGGCGGTGGCTGAGCATGATCTCACGCAGATGTATGAGGCAGATACAGCTAGTGTGATATGATGGTCGGTTTAATAAATCTTAGGTGGGTGCAGTTTGACCGTGTCTAGCTAGGCCTGAACCTGTTGGTCAGCTGCAATCTTTGCATATTACCACTTATTTAAATCATGCCTATCTGGTCAGAAAATAAAGTGTGCAGCTGGATTAATCGTGTATGTAGATAAGATGTGCCTCTGTTCCTTGATAAGCTAGTATGGTTGTGAAGGTATACCGCAGTACCATGGGTGCATCAGTTTAGTACTCCACTGATGGGTGTAATTCAACTGCGTCTAGTTAGGCCTAAACCTGTGTAACATTGCAAACTAACAAAAGGCAAATAGTATTGCTGTCTATAACGCATTTTCATAGCTGCGTATTGTTGTTTTAAGCACTCATAGCAGATATGATATTTTGGTCAGGCAGTGCTAGGCTGTGTGCGGTCGCAGCTATTGGCGTTGTATCAGCGCCTAGTAAGTTATAGAATATGTATGCAATAAAGATGGGCACATAAAATATAAAAACGATGACAATAAGGGAGTAATGCTGAACTAAGAAGAAGTCTGATGAGGGCCTCACCCGGCACAGCTGCAGTACGTCTCTTAGGTCGCCAAGCCTCCAGCTGTCTTCCCCAGACCGACTCCCGCCCACTGTCAGAGCCCCCCGTGGCGCTGTGGGCACTCAGGAGCAGAAACTGTCCACTTGACCCCCACACCTTGAGTCCGCGGGCCGTCCATCACCACCCAGGACTCAGTTAAATGCGTGCCCCAATGTCTCTCCCGGTCACATACATGGGACCGTCGCACACCCCTCCCGGCCACCGGTCCGCTGGAAGCACTGCGCAGATCTGCCACACAGGGCTCCCAGCATCAGGGACAAGGCTTTCCGGGGACTCCCGACCCAGAAGCCAGGGCACTCACTTCTCCAGCGGGTGGGTAGTCAGCGTGGGGGATCCGTCTGGCGTTCAGCAGTGCCGAAGTCCGCACGAGCCGTCCTGATCCACTCCTCCTGGTGAGTATTTCTCATTTTTACTCCATCTCCGGCCGTTCAAAGGTGCATTTTAGCCGGTCCTGAAAGAGGAGGCGAGGGTAAGACCCCCTCTGCTGAAATCTGCTGCCTCCTTGATCATGCTTGCCGGTGTCAGCATCAGCGCGGAGGTAGGGCCAGTAATGTAAGCGGTGGATGTCCCCCTGCTCCACACCGATCTTCTCCGCTTCTGACTCTATCTCCATCTGCTCAGGTCTTATGGCGGGCTGTTCTCCAGACAGCCTGTGCCAGTGTAGGCGAACGGCCCCGCCCCCCTGATTCTGTTTTGGTATATACGTTTTGACATGTTTGTGTTATCACTCTCTCTGATTTTATTTGAACCTGGCCATTTTCTTTAACAATTTCAAAGCAGCGATTGAACTGATGAACAGACAGTCCTGGTGATAGTTTTTAGGGTGGATTTTACATCACTTGTCTTTCAGTACATGTCCATTAAATCCCTACACACCTTTATGTCCTGCTCAATAATCACATGCCAATGTCAACCTGCCAATTGACCCTCCTTTTATATATACAAATCCACTGTCCCTGAATATAGATTCCTTCATTTATTTTCAGTTAACGCCCCCTCGTAATATAAATCCCATCACTACCCTTTAAATAACCCCTTCCTTATCTGTAATCTATATCTCTCCCTCAATGTTCCTTTAACACCAAAACAAAAGATCACACTTTAGTGATTAACCCGGAGCTGATTTGCAAAATTTCCCAATTTGGCAATTTTAGTGTAAAATCTGAAATACACTTTGAATTGCAACTTTGATTACTGACAATTTAAGCTTTGTTGTATAACCCTCTCTGCATTAAAATGTTAGCATAAACAAATCTAAGTTAAAATTTAAGTTAAGCTAAGTTAAACTCTAGAGTCCCAGTCTTTGGCTGATGCCCAATGTATTGTTGTTACATTAGGGACAACCATGACTCAGTTTGTTGAGTGTTGTGTCCTTAGGTGAAAGATTTTGCGGCTGCGGGCTGTTTGTGTAGTTAGATAAACATTAAAACATTTAGTCTGTTCATCTCATCTATGTTAAATATGACTACATTGTACAGAATTAGTTATCCAAAGCTTATCACTGTTTTTGTGATGTATGCTATGGAATGGAAATTATTCTCCATTATTCAGTGTAAGCTATTATTTAAGAGTGAGTTACGGTACTGTGGGATTTCATATATCAAAATAAGTCAATTTCTTTAGCGTAAAGATTACATTTTTCTTGTTGGATTCTATGGCCTACCTTGCAAAGACTCAATTACGGCTTTGATCTCAATCCAATCTATGAACTTGGTTGCTGTAAACTAGTGCAAAAAAAGGGTGCATTTTGTTTATTCACTTGGACTTATTTACAAAATGAGAAGTGTAGCCTTGGAAAAAAAATCATTTATTTATCCACAACTCTTACAAATATTTGGGAAAAACAAACATGTTTTTGGAACAGATTCAATAAGCCAATTAGAACTAACAGGAGCTGTGAGGGAAAACAAACAATCTAATCCCTAAAGTATTCAACTTCAAATGTCTGCAGTAAATGTTCTGAGCGTTGGAATGGAAGATTTTTGGATGTACCACTGCATTCACAGGTAGGGCTGTCTCAGTTTCTGGGGGAAAAAAATACTATCTGTATTAGCAATGATGCATTATTATTCTTGGCCTTACCATGCAAATTCAAGGTGAATGCAAAGTGAATTTTAAATTTAAATCCAAAATAGCTGAATGGAAAGCATAGCTGTCTTAGAAAATATTTCTAATTTGGGTACTTTAACCTTAAATTTGAGGTTCAGTTTGAATTCACATTGAATTCTCACTTTCCTCAATAACCCTGTTAATTTCTTTTCTACCTGATTGTAAAATAAATTAAAAAAAAAAGTAATTTCACTAACTAATTCAAATGCTATATGAATAATTTTAATATGTATATTTTTAAATCTATTTATATATCTCTTTATTTAAATCTAAGAACAGCCTTTATAAATAAACTTACATACCCTATATTACCTAAACATTAACATATATTGAGTTATAATAATGTGCCATTTTAAAATATCCTAATTGGTTGAAGTTTTTTTTTTTTGTATTTTTTTGACTCTGTGGAAAATGGTTGTATATGATTTGGAACTATTGCTGTGCTTGAGCTATTACCCCTAACTCTAGGGCAAAAGAAGATGATAACAGTCCAATAGTGTCATGACCCTCACTCCCTCTGGACACTGTCATTCCTGTATTGATGCTGTACGTCATTCTGTCATGTTTTTCAACATGGGCTGTCCTACCTGCAGGATGAAGTTGCTGCGAGGGACCTCCCTGAGGACTTAGAGGAATATAATAATTATAGGAATATAATTGTCTCATAAACCGCCTAGTTTTCATTTCCTCCTATCTGTGTCTTTTGCCTGAGGTTCAGTATCAGCCACCAGATTATGGCTTTCATGTATTCCGGTTCAGTAGAAAATGTCTTCTTCAGTAAAAACTGCCTGGAACCGAAATGTTGCCTCTGTTTCAACAAAAAAACAATGTGCCTCTGGATTTAAACCTTTGATTGCCTGGACAGCTTTCAATTCTATACACTCTATGTATGGGATATGGAACCACACAAGTCTGTGAGGCACCATTGGAATATCCCTCTGCTTAGTGTGTGCAGTCCCATTTGTTGGAAACAGTAGAAAATGTAATTGATTAGATCTTTGCCTTTCCATCTGTCTGTAGATACCATATGTGATAGACCCTTGAATGTCTTCTTATAACTCTGGAGATCCTATACAGTTGACTATTATTGTATTTCATAAGGAGGAATAATATTAGAAGTCCAAGTACAGGGGGCTTAACAAGATTACCATACAGAGTGTATACCCCATTACCCAACTCTTTAACATACTTTTGATAGATTTTCAATTTTTTTTTTTTTTTTTGCCAAACTAGATCAGGGTGCGGGGTGGGGAGGGGGGTCACTCTGGTTCATATTAAAGGACCACTATAGTGGCAGGAAAACAAACTAATTTTCCTGGCACTATATGGTCTTTAGGTCCCCCCCACCCTCATGGCCCCCCTCCCTCCGGGCTCTAGGGGGAGGAAGGGGTTAAACGCTTACCTTTTTCCAGCCGCGAACGGTTCGCCGCGGACTCATCATTGAGTAAATTTTGACCCTGTACCTCACAGTCAGCAGACACATTCCAGCCAATCAGCAGCAGACCCTCCTCCCACCTCCTGGACAGCATCCATTGTGAAGCTGCATTCTTAGTGAGCTGTCCAGGAGGTGGGAGGGTCTGGGAGGGAGGGTCTGCTGCTGATTGGCTGGAATGTGTCTGCTGACTGTGAGGTACAGGGTCAAAGTTTACTCAATGATGAGTCCGTGGCGAACCGTTCGCGAACCGTTCGGCGAACAGTTCGGGACATCACTATTGGAGAAACCCTTAACCCCTTAAGGACCAAACTTCTGGAATAAAAGGGAATCATGACATGTCACACATGTCATGTGTCCTTAAGGGGTTAAAGGAACACTCCACTGCCCAAATACAAAATAATTTTTTTTAAATCACTGTTTAATAGATATACCCCAAATGAAAACTTGCATGCATTTAATTATGTATTTTTTTCATTGGGGATATATCTAAAATCAGCTTGCAAAACCTGCAGTTCTCATGTCTGCTGCCTTTGCAAGCTCTGCCATTCTAAACCCACCCAGACTTTCTGTGGCTGTCTAATGACAGACTTCCCACTGCAGCTCAATGAGTAGTCTTTGTAAGTCAGGTGCTCTAGGCAATTACTTCCTCTTGAGTTCAGCTGCATTAAGCTAACGATACCAGGAAGTAACATTACCTGTTGTCTGCTTAAAAGCAAAGGGGGTGAAACCAGGTTAACTTATGAAAGTGTAAATTTCCTCCTCTGAGGGAGACTTGACCCAAGGCGTGAGCCGATCCCGATTGCCATAATGGGGCACACATCAGCCGGTAAGACCTGGAGGGTCATGCACGGGCACTTGGGAGGGGGGTACTTGGAGGGAAGCCATTGTGACGAGCAGGGGCAGGGAAGTTTGGACCACTATGGAGTCCCCCCGCAACCCGGAAACCCTGCAAGGTGGAGTAATAGCAAGCTAAACGGGAATACATAGAGTTCCCGACTCCTAGTGGCCCACATTATATCATTCCCCGAGACCCTGGACATGTCTACTGACTTCTCCGCCTAGCCTGAACCTGTGAATCTCGCACCCTCACAACCGGAGGTGGTAAATATGCAGCTGACGGAGGAGGTGACTCTGGTTCGAGAACGATGTATGCTGAGGGGGGTGGTGGGGGGCTCTTCCTGAGGCTAGGGGCATACCCCAATTGAGGGGCCTGAGAACACGGGCAAGAAGGCCTTCCCACGCCCTGCCGCGAGGGAAGGATTAGGGCTATGTACGGTAACCATGGACACACCAACAGACTCTTGACTGGGACTGAAGAGGGAGACTAAGCAAAGCCCTGAACCACCACCCCATGCAGACGCCTGACAGCGATACCCCAGGGCCTCCCCCCCACGTAGGCAACATGACAGACCTGACAGACTTCCCATGCCACCCACTCCAGCTACCGCAAAGTAGAGATGCAGTCGACACAGTTGACTAGACACGCCTGGGACATGGCTAGAGACATGACGAACCCCCCTCACCCATGCACTGACACGCAGCTACATCCCCCGGGGACCCGAGACTAGAAGACCGGGGCCGGAGCCCCTATGACACACACACTGACAGGCGTACGGCTGACGTTAACCTACACGACCGTATGAGAACTACCGGTGACCTTATGCCTCCCGCGACACCTGTATGCCTCGGCCAGGGGGCAGGAGTGACACGGTTTGGATACACGACAAGTTGATAACCTAACCCATCCCTGTAGATAGGGATCCATATTTCCTGTAGTTGAGAGCTACCATAGTTCACTCACCTATACTAACTCACTGAGAACACACCAGGGGAATACGCCCCAACACAAACCGCAGGTGAAGGCTGAGTCCTGCGGTAGTGCTCCAAGGGACCTGCGCCCTCCCGACGGGCACCCTCCTAAAACTGGTAGGGGGGTCTTAGACACCCACTCTCCGTGGGCCCAAAGGCCACCACCACCACAGGTGCTGAGTCGCTGCAGTTCCGCACCGGGCTTGACACATTCTTCTCTTCCAGCCCCTGCTCTTTCCTCCCCCCCTTCCCTCTTGCCCACCCCTTCTTTTACGAGCCATGGGGACGGAGTTCAAGCCTGCGCCCCTCCATGTTTGGTCGAGTAATGTCCGAGGACTGAATGTGCCAGAACGAAGATCCCATCTGTTGCGCTCCCTTTGGGCCGAACGGGTTTCCATTGCACTCCTGCAGGAGACCCACTTTCGAGGCGACGATAGCCCGCAGCTGAAAGACGCGAGGTACCCGTTGGGGTTCTTCGCAAATCACCAGGCAGCCAAAAAGGCGGGAGTGGCGATTTTATTCGCAAGCACGATCCCGTTCGAGTGCGCGGCCACCAAGGCGGACACTATGGGACGCTATCTGTTTGTAAAAGGCACAATAGCCGGATGCTCCTACACCTTTGCCAGCATCTATGCGCCCAACACCCGGCAGTCTAAATTTATTAGAACGACGCTGAATAAACTTGAAACATTCCGGGAGGGTTTCCTAGTGGTGGCAGGAGACCTGAATGTTCCCCTAGAACCAAGAACTGACACCTCTAGGGGGACTAGCTCCTTCCCGTCTCGAGGCTTACGAGTCATACGAGAGGCGCTCCGAGGCTCCGGCCTCATAGATGGCTGGAGGGTGCATCACCCCGAGGATAAAGACTTCACTTTCTACTCCACGTTACATAAGTCTTACAGCAGGCTAGATTATATATTTGTGGCCCAGGAATTCCTGCCCATGTTACTCTCAGCAGAAATACGACCTATGGGATGGTCTGACCACTCACCAGTTTCAGCCACACTTAGATCCCCCCTATATCGCCCAAGAGAAAGGCAATGGCGGATGAATGAATCGATACTCAATGACGCACTAGTAACGACGGAACTCCGATCTACGCTCACCACATTCTTTGAGGAGAATGAATCCCCGGAGGTACCAGCCCTGACGATATGGGAGACGCACAAATGCGTTATTCGAGGGCAGCTGATTAAGATTTGCACCCAACGGCAGAAGGTACAGCGACAACGTGTGACTGAACTGACCGCACAGATCTCGGCGCTGGAAAACACCCACAAGTCTACCCACTCGGACAACGACTACAAGGCCCTACTGGAAGCTAGACAAGCACTTAGGGACATCCTTCACCGCAAACTACAGTACACCATACGTAAATCACATCGGTTTTTCTATGAATACTCGGGCAAATGTGGCCGCCTCTTGGCCCGTACGCTCCAAAGACAACGCCGACTGTGTCACATCACAAAAATTAAAGACAGGGCCCAAGTAGCCACGCAACTCCCTGACAAGATAACTGATGCATTTCACGGCTTCTACAGCGACCTGTACAACCTATCCCCAGAGGGCAGCGCAGACGACCGCCCCAACAAGGACGTACGTATTGCGGACTACTTGCAACAACATGTCACGAGAACCCTAAGCCAAGAAGTGGCTGCAGAACTGGAAGCCCCAATTGCACTAGAAGAACTTCAGACAGCGCTGAAGGGTTCCAAGCCCAATAAGGCACCGGGCCCGGATGGATTGCCGGCTCGATACATCAAGGAATTTGGCGATGTGCTCCTACCCAAATTACTCACAGGTCTCAACTCCCTACTAGACGGAGGGACGCTCCCGAGAGACGCCCTTTCGGCAACAATAGCAGTCATTCCTAAGGAAGGCAAAGATCCAACCAACTGTGCAAGCTACCGGCCAATTTCACTTCTAAACGCGGATCTGAAACTCTTCACGAAAGTCCTAGCGACGCGGATAGGAAGAGTTCTCCCAGACTTAATTCATCCCGACCAGGTAGGGTTCATTCCTGGCCGGGAAGCACGAGATAATACCATACGGGCCCTGAACGTCATTCATGCGGCCAGACGCTCTGCTCAAAAAGTCCTTCTCCTTTCCACCGATGCGGAGAAGGCCTTCGATCGTGTGGACTGGGGTTTCATGCTGGCTACACTCCGGGCCATGGGCTTCGGCCCGCATTTAATGGCGTGGATCTCCTCCCTGTATACGATCCCTTCGGCAAGGATAAGGATCAACGGAGCTCTCTCAAAACCAGTTCACATACGAAACGGGACGAGACAGGGATGCCCGCTGTCCCCCCTTCTGTTTGCCCTCTCCCTGGAACCTTTCCTGGGGGCGGTTAGACGGGACGGGGGCATAGGGGGATTTACCCTACGAGGACAGGAGCATAAAGTAGCCGCGTATGCTGATGACATGTTGTTCTTCGTTAGCGAACCGATAGTTTCCATCCCGAACCTCCTGAGGTCCTTTGCTGAATACGGGCAGGTATCCAACCTGAAACTAAACAAGGATAAATCTGAGGCGCTCCCCATCTCGACAGGCGAAGCGATGACTACCCACCTTAAGACCCAATTCGCCTTCACGTGGTGCCCAACCAGGCTCAAATACCTGGGAATCTGGTTGACCGCTGACCTGACCCAGCTTTACACACACAACTTCGCACCGATGGTACACAAGCTGGGAGCAGACCTCACTCGGTGGGGAAGTCTATGCATCTCGTGGTTCGGGAGAATGAATGCTATTAAAATGAACCTCCTACCCCGACTCCTGTACCTGTTCCAGACCATACCGATCAATATACCGAGGGCCTTCTTCCGAACGATGGACACAGCTATCACTAAATTTATATGGCAAGCTAAAGTTCCCAGACTGAAGAAGCAACACCTCCGCCTACCCAAAGCACAGGGTGGAGTGGGTCTTCCATCAGTCCTTGATTACTATAGAGCGACACATCTCCATAGAGTCGTGGACTGGCACGTCCCCGAAACTTGCAAACAATGGATACACATGGAACGGAGCCAATTGGATGGGTCGATCCCGGCCGTGGTATGGCTTGGGGGTACCTTAACAAACACACGCACCCGTAACCACCCGCTCATCGGAGCGACGCTGAGAACCTGGTACTCAGTGAGAACCACCCTAATGCTGACCACCACCCCGGGACCCCTGACGCCAATCACGCATAACCCGGACCTGGCGGGTGGCCTTACACCACAAGACATCAAAGCCTTTGGGGACTCGGACTGGACGTACATGCACCAATGGTGCACAGAGAATTCACTGAAGCAACTACAGGATCTGATGCCTGAACGGACACCTTCGGGGTTGGATAGATTCCGATATTTCCAGACTAAAACCTACTATCAGTCCCACTACGGGAAGCACCTTTTCCACAGACCCTTGACAGGATTCGAACAACTCTGCACGACACGCAAACACCTGTGCAGAGGAATCTCGTACCTCTATACAATGCTCCTGTCCTCACTGCAACACACACCCCTCAAACATATTACGCGCTGGGAAGACGCCACTGGAGTCGCACTGACGGACCCCCAGTGGACGAAAATCCACATCTTGACACACCAAAGTTCGATGTGCACCAAACAACAAGAACTCAACTTCAAGCTGCTGACCAACTGGTACCGGACCCCTGAGAGAATACACAGGATGATACCAGATGCCCCGGCAAGCTGCTGGCGTTGTGATGAAGCAGTAGGCACAGATCTGCATATCTGGTGGTCCTGCAAAAGAATAACCCCATATTGGCATCAAATACACTCACAGATCAAAAACATCACAGGCACGGACACCCCGCTCCTCCCTCTTCAGATGCTCCTCCATCACACATCACTGCCCCTATCAAAATACAAGAAGTCGCTGACTAAGCATTTACTGAACGCAGCCAAATTGCTAATCCCGAGGAAGTGGCGAACCACACAGATACCCAGCCTCCAGGAATGGATGGAACAGGTCGAAGAAATCCATGGCATGGAACAGCTGACAGCTTCCCTGCGTGGAACCACAGAGCGATACCAGCAAATCTGGACGCCTTGGCTGCTATTTATATCCGGGAGACAGACATAAACACCAAAGCGCACTGGAGAGCAGGAAGGGCGGAGGCAAGAGACACCTGGACTGCAAGGGCCGTGCTCGGCCGAACGGGTGGTAGGGGCGGAGAGGGACTCCATGCCACCCGCAACACAGGCTCGAAAACGGTCCTAACCCTCCTCCTTTCTCTCTCTCCCCTCCAACTCCCCCTCCTCCCCCTCTCTCCCGCTTCCTTGATCTAACCCTCCTCCGAGAGATGTGTAGATACGAGCCCGGGGGGGACCGCACCCACACCCCCTGAGGTACCCCCCCTTTTTTTTTTTTTTTTTCAAAAAAAAAGGAGAGAAGAAAAAAGGGAGAAAAAGAAGGAGGGAAAAAAGACCTGACTAGCCAAACTAGCGCGCGACACAAACGTACGAGCCCCTGAGAACACACGGATTCCACAACTTAAGGGGAACGGGCAGACAGGCTGAAACCGGGAAGCATAACAATGCCGAAGACCCCCGAGACCGCTGACACCCAAACAGGCCCATAGCCCATATACATGCTAAGACTTGACGCAGGAATACTCTTGACAGACCGTAGTGGGAAGGGCTTGAGACTGACCTAACAATAACAAGAATCTGACGGACACACTCGGCTAACACTAGGGCGAAGCCCAAGGACAGGCCCCACGGTTATGCAGAGACAGGGGTAGACATAGACTCATGGTCTGTTCACATTCCACATCTCACATAAACCTGGCTACATAGCCTCGATCTGTAATTCCTTTAACTGGCTGAACTCATATTGTAAGCCACAAACTTGCCATGTTAAACAAATGTTATTTCTGGACGTTGTATCTAGATTGTTATCCGGGAAATGATAAGAAACGAGCACACCTCAGCCGCAGAAAGGTTTATTCTGCACAGCTACGCGTACGCAAAAATTTTGGTAGTTACCTTGAAATTGCACGTTGACTACCTACATAAGGTATCAGCAAGATACCGCGCAATGTACTAACTAATGTCTAGGTGTTTAGCATAACTGCACTTGCACTGTACATATGTTTACTACAGGACTCCAAACGAAGCTCCAGTTTTATGATAACTTAACGTAACCTCTTTACACACGTTCTACTGCTAAACAAGGAAATGTTACTACCTCCCGCTAATGTTGTATTGACCCTACGCTGTGAACAAAGAGTACATTTCCCTTTTCTTTCTTCTGTACCCCATCTTATATGCCGCAATAAAACAAAGATTGACAAAAAAAAAAAGAAAGTGTAAATTTCTATTGAAATCTGCATTTTTTGCAAAATGAAAAAGAGGACACATTCTTCACACAGTTGTTTAGGGGTGTGGAGTGACCATTTAAGCGCACCCACCCTTTTTAGTATAGGATACTATTAGCTCTGGATTTGCGTGTTGGTATATTTCAGCCTTTGCAAATCATAGCTGGTGTGCTACAGATTCCTAACAATTGTCTACACTATTTCAATTTGTTATCCACATTCACACCCAACATCATATATACAGCATATGGGCTCATTTTTGAAGAAAAGTAAGAATAATTAAGGCAATAAAGCTCCAAAATTGTATGTTTGCTTCCATGATAATATTTCAGACACTGTATGAAGATTAGTAAGATCGAGCCAACCATTTCACCTTTCCAAATTGTACCCTCCTTTCACTATTTCTGTAAGGGTGAACTAATAAATGAAAGTTAACATTTAAATTTTTTTTTAGATAATTACTATCACGAACGCATCCTACTTCAAGAGTGTGCGTGATGTAGTTGTGGTGGTGAAAGGGTTAAAGTTCACTATTTGTCTGCACTAGACTGGAAATAATTATAAAATCCCCCTTAACACCACCCACACCTAAGCATAATATAAAAATTACTATTTTAACGCTGCCACTACCAAGACAATTTATAAATGGGGTGCCTTGGTCCCCCAGGCAACTTAATAATAAAAACCCACCAAGTACAACTTAGCACAATATTTAAGCAGTTGCAAAACACTAATTAGTCTCTTCAGGTAACGTGATTCTTTACAGGCAAAGGCAAAACTTAATATTATGTGCAAAAAAATTGTCACAGTGCATACAAAAATATAGTTGACAATCAAATTAGTTACACCAACAACAGATAAAACAAAAGGGATAAAATAACAGAAGTCCTAATGACTCACTCAGGTTTTCAAAGTAAAACTTCTGCTCAGGGGGTCTCTTGTAAGAAAGGTGGTGATTCACTTAGAATTAGATTCTGCCCCCAAGCAAGTGCTAATACACATCTCAGTATCATTGGATATATACCCTGTGGATTACCAAGCCTCGCCCAGAGGTGGAGATAAGGCATACCTATAGTAACTATAAGCAGCCACCCCCTTGTGTTCCAGACCAACATCAACCAAATGGAAACATTTGGTTCTATCTCCTCTTATGTACTTGCCACAGAAATAATAATTGCATCTATGAATGTGTTACCATTTTTCCAATCCATAGATATGTCACAAACCTTACTTGTGACCCAATATAGCAGACATCACAATCCCTACCCCTATGGTTAAGTTACGCAAATCATGTTTGTCCTTGATTAGAAGATTGTGCTCATCCCATTCCAAATATAACAAAAATGAGGCTCAGTTATTATTCCGTGAGTAAGTATTTATGGGTTTTTTGGATATGATACTGCAACACAAAGCTTGTTTTTTTCTTTTCTTTCTTGAAAGCTAATGATCATTAACATATCAAAGAAATTAACTTATCAATTAAAAGGTACAGGCCATATGGCTGAAGCCAGCTAGTTTCTAGTTTATAGTGATGTCCCGAACGGTTCGCGAACGGTTCGCCACGAACGGTTCGCAGCGGACTCATCATTGAGTAAACTTTGACCCTGTACCTCACAGTCAGCAGACACATTCCAGCCAATCAGCAGCAGACCCTCCCTCCCAGACCCTTCCACCTCCTGGACAGCATCCATTTTACATTCATTGTGAAGCTGCATTCTTAGTGAGCTGTCCAGGAGGTGGGAGGGTCTGGGAGGGAGGGTCTGCTGCTGATTGGCTGGAATGTGTCTGCTGACTGTGAGGTATAGGGTCAAAGTTTACTCAATGATGAGACCGTTTGCGAACTGTTCGGCAAACCGTTCGGGACATCACTACTAGTTTACAGTGGGACTAGACAACCAGGTATCGCAAGTGTAGAATCTCACACTGCAGAGCTTTTGATTAATCAACCGATCAATCCATCCCCTTTCACATTCCTATGCAATTTACATTACCCCTTCTTTCACCTAACCTTGCAACCAAGTGGCAATATTCTATTGTGCAACAATGAAGTATGCACCCTTGGCTTGACAATCAATTTCTGTTTTACCCTGTGTTTATCTGCTAGCTATGCATGCTGTGTTCCAAATAAATGTTACACATTTTTTAATAAAAAAATAAAACAATTTTTTTTTTATTAAATGGGTATAAGTATACAATACTGCAAATGTGATTATGGTTGGAATCCTCCTGGAACAGCTGCTCTTTTTTTAACAGAGATGCCAATAAGACAATGTGCCAATCAAATGTTAGTGTACACATTTTTGGCATTGTAATAGTCCCGAGGTTATTAGAATGCTGCTCCTCTTGCATTAATGCTTAAATTTAAAATATAATCTAGTTTGTTTTTTTAAACATAAAAGCTTGGTTTTCTATCCCTGTAATCTGTACTATTTACAGGTTGTTTGCAGATCTTTAGTACCAGTGACATGTATGTAAATTCATAATTCTAATATAATTTTATGTATTTATTTTTTAATTTATTTTGATGTTTAGAACCAAAGTGTTTTGCAAAGGAATTTTCCACTGGATATTTAATTGGAGAAGTCTTACACAAGTACCAACTGCAGGATGACTTTGATCAATTTTCACAGAGCAGGTATAGTGCTTTGCATGATAAATAACAATTAAGGTCAGTGGGCTACACTTGAAGGACTGCACATTCAGTAGAGAAATCAAGTCTCAATTTTACTAACTGGGGGTCACTGAGGCAGAATTAAGAAAAATGCATATCGCCTATAGTCACCAGTTCACTCAGCTGTGATAATAGCAATATCTAGCTGATTAAGAAAAATATTATGTTATTGCAAAGACATAGTGTTGGGTGGATCTTCTGTGAAGAGACATTGATTGATATGCCGTAGTGTTATTTTTCCATCTTCCAGTTGAGTGGTGCTTGAAGACTTCAGTATGTAGAGAGGCTAATGAAGCCTTTAAAAAGTTTCCAGGCACTTTTCCAGATTTTGAAACCAGACTTTGTGGAAAGGTCTTCAGTCAATAGTTTCAAATAATGGAGAACATTGACAACAGTGTAAGAGAATCTTGTCTATGCAGCAATGAGCATTTTGTAGTTCCTGGAGTCATTGTCATGCAAGAAACCGCAGTGTATTATTATTGCATTGGGGAGACACTGAGTAGAAGTGCTAAGCCCTGATGTTAATGAGCCTGGAAATCCCATACTTGACCATTAGTAATCTAAAAATAAAGATCAAGGATACAGTACAGAAAAAAATAGTACACCAGGAGACATTTTATCTTGAGGCAGACTAGTGAAGCTGAGCAGTTTTTAACACCTAGATTAGAAAAGTCACATAATATGATAATTATTATTAAGTTCCTTAATATTTATTCAGTCATTATAATGTCACACTCATAAATTCCCCCCCCCTATTTATAGAGCTGCCATCTCCAAACTAAACAACTTTACTCGGATAGAGCCCACTCTCCATCTTCTGGGTATTCATTTTGACCAAAATGTGGCCCAGGATATTATATCCGAACAACATGGGGCAGCAACCCGACTTCTGTATCAAATGTACATTGCTCTGCAAAGGAAAAAGAAGGCAGGATTAACAGGAGTAGCTATGGAGACTATGAGACCAGCGGCTTCAGCCAAGTTACAAAGCATTGGCACAGAATTATATCGAGAGGTAAGAGAGCAGCAAGTGTCCTTCTTTAAGTATTTTGGTGACCATATTTTCTTAGAGCTCAAATGTTTGTATTAGAGAGCACCACAACAATAGAAAACTCTCTTTTTTTATTGAACTGAAATTAAATGAAACCTATATTGTGAAATGTATGCAAAGGGTGTTGATTTTGAATAGCTCTAGCTTAGCAATAGTCAAAGTTTGGCTATTTCAGCCTAAATTTAGCAATACACGAAATTTGTGCACCAGTGAAATTTTCATTTCGTAGGAATGAATTCATACTAACTAAAAATTTAATTTATCCATTCCAAATTTAGTCCATAAAACATTTTGTTTTTTTGGGATGAAATTCTGTAAAAAAATGATTTGTTTTCACCCATTTGCCGAAAATAACACTGCGCATGTGGGGAAAAAAGTAAGGAGGGAGCCGGCAGCGCCTGCCCACAAGAGGCACCTGCCCAAAATAGTTCCAGGAGAAAAGTAGTGGCGGTCGGTCTCTTTCGGGAATACGAAAACAAATAAAATACCGAACGGATGCTTCAGATGGTATGCAGATAGTGTTCACCTAATTCATGCGAACGATTCCACCAAACAGTGCTCTTCCAGGATGTAAAGAAATGAACCCAGGTGGGAATGGAAGTTTTGCAAAGTCGGGTGTCCGATTTAAGTTCCATGCTCTCGACGACCAAACACCGCTGCCTGCGTTCGAACAAAATGGCCACCACCACGTGTTCGTGCATACAAACGGCAGCCACCCAGCCGACCACTTAGATCGTTATTGAGTTGTTAACAGGGGTGAACGAGGTTAATAAGCATGGTCAGGGTATTTTGTACTTTTTTTCAGTTACCAAACAAAACAGGGGAAAACGTATGTGAACACGGTATTTACTGAACAAAACAGGGAATAGTAAGAAACAGAGTATTTCAGTGGCAGGGTGTTTTATCACAGGGAGTGGGGGCATGCCGCCTAATCAGCGATCAGCCACTGGCTGTCATTTAAAACAGCTAGTGACTGGACAGCTATCGCTATTGTTCTCCATGCAATAACTATATTCATGATAGATTACATCAAGACATTAAAAGAAATAAAATAATTCAGTGGTTACCGCTCAGTCCACTGAATGGAAAAATAAGTCACCACGGCATCAAACCTCCATAGTGGAGGACGGTTGCCTAAACTGTGCTCTCAAAGAGGGGGTAACCCCCAAATGTAAATTGCAAAAAACATATTAGATCCCAGCGTGGTCCTTTAACAAAAAAGGAGCACCCTGAGGGAGAGCACAGATGAATAGGAAAAATGTAGAATAAAGTAAAGACATAAAACCCTACCTTTAATAAATCTATAGTTAAAATGGGAATAGCCCAGTACGCAATATTACAGTGAATAGAACTAGGGGAGAGGACTAAACAGACTCAAACTGTGATATATATATAACAAGATAAATACTTGAAGTAATACCCAGGTAACTCTCCTCTTGGATAGAGGGCGATCCAGGTATATAGCTATAAAGGGACTAGTATCTAAACAGACCTATAGCAACTCAATAGGAAAAAATCTATAGCAAGTCAATGGTAAAAAATTCCCTAGCCATATTACAAGGAAAGGCTGGATAGGACCTAAAGGAATGCCAAAAAAAACCCTAAAAAAAATTATATAGATACTACACACTGTCTCTGTTACCTCAGCACCGCACAAAGCTAGTGCCTACCTGAACCAACCAACCCTAGTATTATAAGTAAAAAAAACTTATGAACTAAATAGTGCTCATAGTGCTACCCAAACAGTGTAAATAAAAGTGGACAAAAACAAAACGCCCTACGTGCTTTTCGGCGTGCTCATACATCATAGTTTGGGGCAAAGTGAATGAGCTCCCCAAAGTGGTGTGTTTAAATACCTATCTTTCTAATGAGCCATATGGGTAAAGACCAATCAAATGTATAGGCAGGTAAATAGGGGGGACAAGACCAATTATGTAATACGCCAGTCAGCCAGACGGGAGGGACCAAAGCAACTAAGTGCCGTACCTGTAGTCATAGACTTATCACTCACGTACGCATACGTCCCTTAGTGACGCCTATTTGAGGCGAGGTAATGAATGTGTACATAGGATACTTGAATCTCCCATTAAAAGATCTTGTTACCTTAGTTGATCCAAGACCAGGTGTGACGAGAGGAGGGCATCTCGCCCTTTCCCATATGTACTCTGCAATCGATGAAAAAATGGGCGGGACAGGATCGGGACCCGCCTCTCGATCGCACTAGGTTAAAAGCGGCGGATGGGCGGTACTGGGGCAAGTCCATTTTAACCTTAGATTTATTAAAGGTAAGGTTTTATGTCTTTACTTTATTCTACATTTTTCCTATTCATCTGTGCTCTCCCTCAGGGTGCTCCTTTTTTGTTAGAGGACCCTGCTGGGATTTATTTTGTTACATCAAAACATAATTAACCTATTAATTGCATGCAGCTATTTATGTATATATTTTAGGTCTCACTGGTGCATATCTATTTACATTTAAAAATCCTGTATGTTTCTTCATTGTATATAACTACTCCTGCTATAACTACTATATATTGACTTTCATTTTTATAGCGTTTAAAGATGATTGTGCCACGCCAGACAAATGTAAATTTGCAGAAAGTAACTGAACAGTTTGATATAAAAGCCAAAGAAATGAGTGAAAAGCTTGATAAAATACATAATGACGAGCTTAACAAATTACAGAAAGTCCAAGAAGAGCTGAGACTTCAGGATATTGAAAAGGTATTTTTTTTTCTGTTACATATTTTTGGCATATGAGAATATGTATAAATCGACATGAATTGAAGACTAGCTAAATTACATGTATCTAAGGGAAAAAAAGTGCTTATGTTTCTGTATGCTCTAGGGGTGTGTATGTGTGTATGTATCTGTGTGTATGGGTGTACGTGTGTCTGTGTATTTCAAAGCAGCTGAATCGATAGGGAATACGCAGTGGCAGTCAGAAAACAGACAGAAATCTGACGCATTTCCTATATGTAAGACTGATCTCACTCATAAATAGTCTATGAATAAGTGCTCTTAAGCACCTGATTAACTTCATTAATCAAGGGTAGATAAAACGTAGAATCATATTTACTGTAGATCTACACCTCCCATAATTCTTTAGAGTCAACTTAGACTGATTTCAAGGACTTGTGCAGTGATTTAATTGCCATACTTACAATGTTAGAGTTTATAAGTATAAAAGTTATGCCATATTTAATTGTATTAGCTTCGTCGAGCTCGGAGGAGACAAACTGAAATAATGGCACGGATTCAAGCTGCAATCGTACAAATTCCTAAACCACCACCAAATCGCACATTGAAAGCCATTGAAGCACAAAAGATGCTAAAAAAGAAGAAAGAAGCAGAGGTGAGTTTCATGTTCTGAACTGTAAATGTCTTATTAACAAAGCACAAATCATCATTATTTCACAAAACAATTGCATTACCATGTGGAAGGACAGAAATGTCATGTTCTCACATTTTTCTTCAATTTATGAAGCATGACCGAAGTGAGCTAAATTTAAAAACTGGATATTAACCCACTCATAAGTCTCTCTGTATTTAAAGGGTGTTTACCGAGAGCTAGAAAGATTTGAAACGACAATCAAGAGAAATGGCTCATCTAGCAGTATATCACCAACTACAAGGTAAATGTGTTTTGCTCCATTGAACTTTTTGGTTTTAGCGTTATATTCCTTATTTAATGTTATTTAGCTCTAGATTACATTACATTGCATATTTTAATGTTAAAGTTGGTTGTTTAAAGGGATAGATACATAAAATTATGAATTACACATACCATAATATTACCCATGCAAAATAATATGTGTGGCTAATCTAACAGGACTACTAGATTCCTAAACTGGCTTAGAGAGAGAAAGATAATAAAAAATAAAATGAACGGTGCAAAGGTTTCTTCTTAGAGGTTTCTATCAAAGCACTCTATGAAAGTTAGATTACCAATCTCTCAGACGGTATTTTAATTTAATTATTTGCGTAATGGCAAAGGGTTCATCTGTGCACACAGATCATTCACTGAAGGGGTTAACGTTCTGCTGGAATTGAGAATGGTGGTTTAAGTGCTGGGGATATAACTGAAATGTTACAGAAAGGTTATCATTTTGTGTGTTTGTCCTGTGCTAGTGCTTGTATTGTACATATTTATGCAGACCAGGTTTATACAACTTCCATCAATGGGGAAGAGTAATAGGATACATACAATTTGTTTCTCCATTTTTTTTATTCAGTGTTTGTGGTATTCAATTTTTTAACCCTAATCATCAATTGTGATGATTTTAGCAGAGAGATTCCCTTGCTGGCCCTAATCCTATCCAAATCTGAACCCTAATCCAAACTCTAATCCTAAACCTAATTCTAAAAGTAATCCTACCGGTTTTTCTATGCTAATATCAGCACTGATAAAGTGTGTTGCTGCCATTTACTGGCTGTTTTCAACATGACAGGGAGATCCCTTGCATACTTAAAAAAAATGCAATGCCATTACACTGTGATCGGTGCAGGTTAACTGGCAAAGCTCAGCTCCGATCAAAATGGTATGGGGGTATGCAGAGAGAAACTGTCATGGTCTGCTCCAACTCTGGGTTTCTAAGACACATAAGCTACACACAGAGAATCACCGTGGCTGAGCATGAGCGATTAGTCGCGGTGTTCTCGGTCAGTCTGGGGCCACTAACTGTCTCCCTGATGTGAGTTTGGATTTTAACCTGCTCACACGCATTGCAGCAAATGGGTATTTAAATCCACATTTAAAGAACTGAGTGTAGCGCTTACTTTGAAACAGTCCCTGCTGGTAAAATACCACATTATGGAATTATTCTGATCTAGGGAAGCCAACCATGGCAGAATAATTCTGTCATGGGTCCTTGAGGGATTAAGGAAACAATTGCATGCATATATTTGTGTTGAGATATAAATAATTTTTATTAATCAACTAATGATCAAACTTTTTTCTAGGACTTCCACATTACAGCGATTACGTTCAACAGTTAGCATTGGCACCGCTTTATTAAAGCTAGATTCTAGTGATGACTATGTGAAGAAAATTCAGAAACGTTTGGAAGAAGATACAGTAGCACGTGAGCAGAGGGAAAAAAGACGACGCAGAATCCTAATGGAACAACTGACAGCTCATGGGGCGCAGGAGGTTAGAAGAATATTGCAAACCAATATATTATAGATCCACATCTTTATTGCAGCTCTAATACCAGATTTGTTTTCATTGATGTACAGATCTACTTGTAAATACCTAAAACCTCCAGAGATCCGCAAATAGAGAATACCAAAGTTATGATGAAACGTGCTAATTTTTTAAGTAGCTTATAAAAAGCATGAAAAAAATTACACTAACATTAAATTATCTTTTTTTCCACTAGATGTCACTATACTCTAACAAGATGATAAATGTATGCTCATTATGATCCTAATGTTGGATAGCTCCATAGAGGTTTATCTTGGCACCCACATTTCTGTAAATATATTTTTTTAAAAAGCTCAGTTGAAACTCATGCTGACAGCAACCTATGACAGTTATGCGTGCCCAGGCACAAAGACAACTGGAATGCAAAGATTATGGATCAATAAACAATTTTGTGCAGAAGATGTTTGTAAACGACATTTTCCCTGAAAGGATTTCAAAAATACAAGTTTAAGGGAAAGAATGAAAAACCTGGGATTGCAAGGCTATGTATAAAGCCATATTGATTGAAACATTATTTTAAGTTATTTATGGTAGATAGAAGAATACAGAGATTTGATGGCCCAATTGATATTAATCTGTGCTTCAGTCTGTGGTGGATTTTAATTTAAAAGTGCTGTATTAAAAAAACTAGAGAGGGGCGGGGCTCGGATGCCATACTGGAGGGTTGCAAATTGCATGAACTCCTGACGAATACCGAAATAAAAGTGATTTTGAGGTTGAATAAACCTTTACCTGGATTCTCCTGCACTGGTGTACTCATCTGCCACCAGGGGAGTAACCTTGAGGTGTGGTCCGGATCTCTCCATTCTTGCACAGAGTAGTGGTGGTCCTCAGCCTGAAGCAGAAGAAGCAGCTGATCTACCTGTCCAGAGCTGCCCTGGATATCTTTTCTGTAGTCCCACTCCCTACCAAGCGACTACTTACCTCTGCACCGAGCCTGAGCGACTCCTGACTCATGAGCAGCCTACACAAGGCTTTTCCAAGATAGCCGACGATGTGAGCCCGGCAGCCCGACAGTGGCTAAATAAACCATAATAAATCACATACAGCACTTACCTGCAAGAAAAGGCAGATAACTTGAGCAACTGCCTGCAGGGGACAAACTGAAACAAAAGGAATAATGGAAAAGGAACGGTGTGGCAACATAAAACAAACATTTAAAGGAATCCAAGAGACTGGGAATTCCAGGAACGGAATACAGAAATGAACCCAGAAAACCCAGCATAAAGAAAACCAGACATAGAATAGAAAAACAGAAAAAAACAAGAAAAACTAAACAAGAATTGTAAAAAGAGTACTGGATACCAGAAACCATTGCCAGAATGGTCCGCAGCTAGGAACAGGATGTAACAAATTCTTAGCCTCAGTTCTGAAAGGACTGGGAAGCATGGAGACAGCAACCTATGATGCCCACGCGTGCCCAGGCACATGCTACCGATCAGAGCCCCCCTCCTCGGCAGGGAACTAAAGAGATTAGAGTGACCAGCCATAGTCGACGCACTAGGGTGCAACGGCGCCAATCGCGATCCCAAGGCTTTTTCCCAGAGATAGCAGGCGGGATCTGTGGAAAATGGGTGCTGGATCCTGATGTGGCAGAGTGCTGCAGTGACACCGCACGATGCTGCACTATGTGTGGCATGAAATTCCTTTATTGCCTGTCTGGCTGATACAGGTGTGGGTTGAGTTGACTGCATTCCGCGACCCGAGCATATACCCAGGCTCCCACTTTGGCTCGGTTGCTGCTTATCATCTCTATACTTGCCTACTGTTCACTGCATGATAGTGATTGCTCTATACTATGCCTTTACTATAACATTATTATATCAAGATCAACATCTTGAGCTTAGTGTATACCATCCTTGGTGGTTTTCTCCTTCCGCATTTTTAATCCTATGCAGTCAAAATGCATAATTGTACATTCACCTTCATTTTCTCTCCCTTTATTTTGACTCACACTTGATTCTACTCTGTTTCATTTTAAAATAGTGCAATTTACTCTTATGCCACGATTTTGTTTCAATATGGATGATATTGAATACGTATCAATCCTGTTGTGGCATTGCAAGCATACATGTTACCACTTGCACTGCAGAAATAAAGAATTTTAAAAAACCAAACAAAAAAAACTAGAAAGTCATTCATTGACTAAACTGTCATTTTCTAATTAATTTATTAGTAACAATTAGAATTGTGCAAAAATGTGTTTTAGCTGGTTCATCTGAATCAAAATCCTTTTAATTCACACCTGTACAAATTGATCCTTCTGGAATTTACGTGCTGAGTCTTATTTAGTGAATAGGACTCCACAGGTTAATCCCTGAGTAATTTGTTCAGGTATGGATTAAAAGGGTTTTTATTCGGATGAACTGGCCAAAACATAGTAGCAATAAATATCAACATATTTTATTTGGAAGGATATACTGAGATTTTCTTACATTTCAAAATAGTGTGTGTCCCAAGATACATATATTGCTTTTGCTCAATTCGTTGGTGCCTTCAACTCCTTGTTGCCTGTCATTGATCATGGAGGGATTATTTGATGCTAAAGTTTAAACACGTTATTCTAACGGTCACCTAATGGTCACCCAAAAGAAAGAAAGAAAGAAAGAAAGAAATAATGTAGTCGGTGACAGTCATTACAGTCATTAAAGCTCTGATATGGCAGTTAAGTAGTTGACTTGATAAAAACCTTTATTTTAGTGGCTAGACAAGATGAACCATGCCTAAAAAATAGTATCTTTGATTCACATAATATCAGGACTATATATATAGGAATTTATATTGCCAGGTCTTCTACTCATTGCAAAAATATATCAATTTAAATGTGGCACCTATTAATTCAGTGACTTGCATTGCACTAGCATATTAAGATTAGAATTCACAAATTGTATGCAGCTGGTCAAAAATGATAATGCAGCATAACAAAGCGTTATGATTTTTTAAAATATGTTCTGAGTCATGTATTGGCATGTTCACTGTCCATTCTAAGAAAATTTAAATAATTTGACGGCAGTCACCCACATTAAGTCTAAATGTGGTAACTTAGGGAAGGCATTTAGATAAGAAAGTACAAGTGCATTACTAGTTATAGTCTAACTTGTGGTGCTGTGAAATCTTTTACTAACCACTAAGACTTTTAATAAGAAAATCTGACACCTTTTGTTATTATAGTTTTTAAAAATGTTAACATTAGTTTGTGACTTTTCTGTCGTTTTTATTAAAACCAAAATATATTCTAGGCTCTTGGATTGCAATCAAACCTATGTCTAGGGCCAGTCGGATAGCACTAGGTCTATCCTGGGCTTAACCTTCAAATAAACCTATAACAGAAAATGCTCAGGAAAGTTAAAATATATATATATATATATATATATATATATATATATATATATATATAACACTATCCTTCCCACTGAATATGTACGAATTCATTGTAAACATAACATAGCAACATAATAAGTCATATATTTACTTGATAGATCAAAAATAAAATGACACTTTGTTACTGTCACATGTTCATCCTCACCTTGTGGTGTCTCTGGGGATAACTACCTTCCGGGCATTGGTGGAGATGCTGGTCGGCAGCCCTGTGCCGGTGTGTCTGATTCCTGCAGCATATTAAAAGACACCGGCCACCGTAGACCCATACTCATTTATAACCCCATGTCCACCCACGGTATTGACGACGTCAACGTGCGTATGACGTCACGCAAACGATGCAAACGCACGTTCTGGGGTCAGAGGCCGGGTACTACCAATCGAATTTAAAGGAGACTTATTTAAACTCCTTTCTTGCCTTTCTTCATTGCCCTGTTGTGGTTTCCCTTAGTGGTTTTCCAAGAGTGTGTTTCTGAGCGTTTATTTCTGGTTATTGACTTTGGCTTTGTTTTGACTTCCCTGTATTCTGGTATCCCTGACTTTTGGCCTTCCCTCATCATTGTGTCTCCTTCTGTGTCCCCGACATCGGCAAGTATTCTGACTATTCTCTGGTATGTTAAGTCCGGCCATTCAAAGGCCTGATAAGACGTTACCTTTAGTCCTAGGTGTGATACATTTCTGCGTGCTGGATCAACTAGTAATCCTGACCGTTACCTGCTCTTCTTCTCCTCACCTTCCCCATGGGCGCTGCCATCAATTTGAATCTATTTGATTGGCATACTGCTAATCCAATAAAACAGAGCAAACTAAAGACTCCCACTAGATGACATCATGTACTCATGAACAATTGGATGGCAAAAACTTGTAAGGTGAGCACAAGATGCAAGTGTGCATGCATTTGTGTCTTTTAAGTCTGATTGCTGTGAACTGATCAAAGTAATTTACAATAGTATCAGTTCCTGCAAGAAAGAAATATAAAAAAAGATCGGGGTACAAATGGGTATTACATATCCATATTAAAAGTTATTTTATTTAAAATAGTAATGAAAAGTGATAGTTTACAGTTCATTATTAAATATGTATCTAATTTGTATTCATATGAATGTTGGGTTGAATGAAAATTCTTCTAGCAGGTACTGGATAAATGTCTACAAAGAACAGATTAATATATGAGAGAGACGATGATGCATTCCTTCATATCTGTGTAGGCTAGATATGGTCACATTCCTAATCTCTGCAAAGAGTTAAATACCTTGTTCCAAAGCTGTAGTATTGGGTTGAACATGTCCAACATAAACCAGAATAAATTGGCCAGACTATTCTCTGGCGTTGCTAGACCTGAAGGTTGATGATGTATGCCTCAATTTAAAAGCTTTCTATATAACTCAATACTGTTACAAAAACTTTCCAAATTAGTTATTTACAGAAAATCCCGTAGACATTAATGGTGTCTTCTGTAGATAAATTATTTGTATCGTTTTTCTAACAGTATTGAAACCTGCCTCTTGCTCTCTCCTAAAGGACCACACTCCACTCTCACCTCCAGTTCTGCTACTTTCCCACCATGTCTATTTGCTCTCTCCCTCAATACCCATCCTTGTTGTGTTTTTATACCCCATCTCCTCTAGACTGTAAGCTCATTTGAGCGTGGTCCTCAACTACCTATTGTTCCTGTTACATTTTATTATTGTCTCATTTGGTAAATTCCCCTTTTATTGTAAAGCTCTGCGGAATAAACCGGTGCTAAATAAATACCAATGATAATAATAATGATTTTAAAAACTTCTTAATAATATATAACTTGCAACAGTCACCATCTGGGGTATTTGAAAAATAGTTACTAAAATTAGAATTCAATATAAATTCACACTTAACTCCAGAGTAGGTAAACTGAAACATAGCTGACTTGGAGAATTTTTCCAGTTTGGCTAGTTTGACCTTGAACTTACAATTCACTCTACTGAAACTCCCATGTGTTGGGAAAAAGTCTAAATATTTGGAGAGTTCTGAAAATTTGATTCTATGATGGACTATATGTGGATTATTTACTAAACATCAAAAAAGTAATACTTAGTCTAGACTTTCCATTGCCAAGTTGGGATTTTAGCTATGACTTTCTAAATCATCTACTGGTGCCAATTTTTTTCAGTTAATTTTTTAAACTCCATTTCGTTATTTAGATAATAAACCCCTTTTGTGTTTTCAGTTAAGCTATCTAGAGACAAAGTGAAATATAGACATATTGTATGACTATAAATATGTATCATAAATTAATGTCTGTTTGGCAAATTTTCAGGAAGCGCTCCGGGAGGATCAACTTATCAATCGCTTAATGAGACAATCTCAACAAGAGCGCAGGATTGCCGTCCAATTAATGCACATTCGCCATGAAAAAGGTGTTTTAAAGCAGAACAGGATTTTCCGGGAGAAGCAATATGAGGAGAAACGTGAGAAAGAATTTCAAGAAGCTCTCGACAGAGAAGCGGTACAGTACATCATAGTTATTTGATTAATACTATCACTATTATTATGAGGTATATTCGCTTAACTGAAAACTGTGGAGAATTAACAAAGGAATTGCAAATTACAGGCCAAAATAACTTGAAAAACAGCTGTGTTGGAGAATTTTTTAAATTGTTTGTGTATTTTGTTCCTAAATAAGTATATGTTTCTTAAAGCTTATAATTATAAAGATGAATAATTTTATATTAAGGAGACACTCCAAAGCCTAAAATAAATATCACTGTTTAGTAGATATATCCCCAACAAAAAACATGCATGTATTAATTATGCATTTTTCATTGGGGTTATATCTAAAAACAGCTTGCAATAGCTACATATCTCTTGCCTCCTGCCCCTTCTTCCCCAGCCCAGACTTTTTGTGGTTGTCCAATCACACACTTCCCAGTCTATTGAAATATGCACTCTTTTGTACATGAAAAAAGCTAAAGTGCTTTAGATGTTTGGAATCTTCCTTTATGAACATATTTAAGCATTTTAGGAGAGATTGTTGAAGCTAGGACATCTGTCTGTAAGTTTTAACAACAGCTTACAGCAGATACTTAGCAGCCACACTTTCCTGGCTAATCATGGCAGCATCACTTATGGTTAGCTCCTCCCTTAGCAGTCACAGGACAGGAATTAATTAGATTAATTAGACTGATAGGTATAAAGAGTCCCTCCTCCCCTTACACCTCAGTCTTTTTTTCCTGTCATTAGCAAGTTCTACAGGACTTTTTAAAAGTTTTTTTTTTTTTTATGGCCACCTTCCTGCGTTTGTCGTGGGTTCGTTCCAAATGAAGTTCAGCCTCTCTTCATTTGAAGGACCCAGTAAACAGCCTGCATGAGCAGGACTAACTGGGTTAGGTTCAGTGTATCTACTGGACTGCTGCGTGGGATTTAGATTGGTGTTCTGAGGGAAACACAGCTACAGGTAATTAACAAAGATGGGGCTGGTCATCCTTAAAAATTCCCCTGGTTCTTTGGCTTGCCTCTAGTAATTGGGGTCTAAAATTCCCCCCTTATCTTGGTGGCAGATCTTTGGGATCCATTCTGGAGTGGGGTCCTCCTGTGGGGGGATCCAGTGCAGGGTCTGTCTTCCTTTTGTTCATTAGTGGTTTCCTGGGGACTTGCAGTATTACTGCTGTGGCTGTTTTGCTCGTTAATTTCCCCTATGGTTCCCTGGTTGCCCCTGCGTTGTTGGCTGGAACGCATTGTGCGTTTCAGCAGGCGGAAGTGACGTCGCGGCTGGGCCGGCAAAATTGAAAGTTCTTGTTACTTTGATAGCCTTCATAAGGGAGAAAGGTATCGAGATCTTCCCTTACTTGGATGACATCCTTATCATAGGTCCATCTGAAAGGATAGTAGCTCATCACATGTTGGTGGCAATGAACATTCTTCAAGACCACGGTTGGCTTCTGAACGTGGAAAAAAGCTCCCTGATTCCTTCACAGACGATCGTATTCCTTCGAGCAGTGATAAACACCATGTCTGCCCATGTGTTCCTGTCTCTGGAAAGGGTCACAAAAATTAGAGACAAAGTAGATAAGCTACAAGGTCTAAAGACTGCCTCTACATGAGAAGTCATGAGTCTCCTGGGTTCTTTGACATCAACTATAGAGTTGGTAAAATGGGCCCAGTGGAAGTTTTGTCCAATCCAGAATTGCTTCCTTCTCCAATTCGACAGAGTGGGAACAGATTGGGAGCAAAGGATGTCTCTGCCCCTGCCCGTGAGGACAGGGTTGAACTGGTGGAAGGACAAGAAGAATTTGGCAGCAGGCTTCCCGTTGGAGGAACCTCCTTGGACGGTTATTACAACAGATGCCACTTCTTTTGGATGGGGTGCCCACTTCAATTCCACATGGGCTCAAGGGAAGTGGACCCGAGAAGAGAGTCAGCTACACTCAAATCTAAGAGCACTGAGAGCTGTTTCCAAGGCCATCTTGGTATTCCTACCAAGGATCTTAAATTCTTGGGTACTGATCAAAACGGACAACCAAGCAGTTGCTTCATATGTGAACAACCAAGGAGGCACAAGAAGCAGATTGCTCTTGAAGGAACCAGCTCTCTTGATGACGATCGCCATGACCAATCTCCAGGGTCTGAAGGCGATCTATCTTCCAGGTTCGGAGAACGTGACTGCAGACTTCCTCAGCAGAAAGGAAATTCTTCCAGGAGAATGGAAACTTCACCCGGCAGTTTTTGCATGGATTGCCCATCGGTGGGGCATTCCCCAGGTCGACCTGATGGCGTCCTCCCAGAATCATCAGGTGGAGAATTACTTCTCCCTCCACCCGGACAGTCAGGCTCTGGGCCAGGATGCTCTCTCTCTTCCTTGGTCATGCTCTCTCTCTTCCTTGGTATGCATTCCCTCCCCTACCCATGATACCCAGGTTCCTGCGGAAGTTGTGGTCGGAAGGAAAGCAGGTTATTGCCATAATTCCGGTTTGGCCTCAGAGGTCGTGGTTTCCCCTACTATCTATGATGAGCCAGGAACAGCCCTGGCCTCTCCCATTTATGGAGGATCTGCTAACGGAGGACCCAATATTCCACCCTCATCTGGCCTCAAATTGGGGGTATGGGTCTTGAAAAAGAAAGACTTCAACAGTTAGGGCTCGCAGAAGCTGGGGTTAATACCCTTTTGCATTCAAGGAAAGTTTCTACTTCCTCATGCTACCATAGGATCTGGGATGTGTTCCGAGAATGGGCTTTGGCCAACAATATTGACTTCCTGCATCCTCACGATACTGAGAGCTTGGAGTTCCTGCAAGAAGGTCTGGATAAGGGCCTTAGCCTCAGCACTCTTAAAGTTCAGTCTTCGGCTCTTTCAGCTTTGTGCAACATCTCATGGACTTCGGATCCTTTGATCTCCAGGTTCTTCAAGGCAGCTTTCGGGTTGAGACCTCCTTCCAGATCTACTACCCCTCTTTGGGACCTATCGCTGGTTCTCAGTTACCTAGCTGAGGATCTGTTCGTTCCTCTTGAGAGTTTGGATGCTACCCTTCTGACGTACAAAACTTTGTTTTTGGTGGCAATTACTTCCGCAAGAAGAATTTCGGAGATTAAAGCATTTTCTACCTTATCTTCTTGTTTACAATTCTATCATGATAGGGTGTGCCTGAAACCAAAACCTGAGTTTCTTCCTAAGGTGGTCTCTCAGTTCCATCTCTCTCAAGAAGTGGTCCTTCCATTGTTTTACACCAATCCTTCTTCACAAGAGGAGGTTAGATGGCAACGTTTGGATGTCATGAACTGCCTGTCTATGTACCTTAAGCATTCTGAGTCTTACAGAAACACTTACCAACTCTTCGTTTTACTTTCAGGAGCCAGGAGAGGTGATGCGGCCTCTTTATCTACATTGAAACGTTGGATTTCGCTAGTGATCAGGAAAGCATATATCTCCAAAGATCGATCTCCTCCAATGAAGATAAGAACTCATTCTACCAGAGCATTGTCGACTTCATAGGCTAATTGGGCAGAGGTTCCATACAATGATATTTGCAGGGCAGCCACCTGGTCTTCCCCGATGATGTTCATGAAACACTACAAACTGGATGTGGACTCTCCTTCCACCTCCTTTGGGAAAGGTGTCCTGTCTACGGTTTCTTTATCCTGTTGATATTAAATTTCCTTGCAGCATAAGAGTCTGTTTGGTGTACTTTTGGTTTGTTTTTCCCACCCTCTAATTCTGTGAGCTTTGGTATTACCCATAAGTGATGCTGCCATGATTAGCCAGGAATAGAGAAATCTTATGACAAACTTACCGTAATTTTCTTTTCCTGGCTATTTCTCATGGCAGCATCAGGGTTCCCACCCATTCTTTTATTTTTCAGCTTTATAATTGGACTGAGGTGTAAGGGGAGGAGGGACTCTTTATACCCTCAGTCTAATTAATTAATCTAATTAATTCCTGTCCTGTGACTGCTAAGGGAGGAGCTACCCATAAGTGATGCTGCCATGAGAAATAGCCAGGAAAAGAAAATTACGATAAGTTTGTCATAAATTTTCTCTATTGTTTTCAGTTCAGCTTTAGTGAATGTTTTGTGAATAATCCTCACAGTTTCTCATTCTCAAGTATTCTGAGCACTGGACATTGTGGCTGCTGATGAGTTGATTGACCTGAGTTATGTTTTCTGTAACCAAGAAGACTAGTTTAGATGCTTTAGTTTTCAGCAGTGATTCTTCCTATAAAGGGAAAATGTGCTGTGTATTCTTATTTAAATATTTTCATTTTCAGTTTTCAATGTATCCACCTATACACTTATAACTGGTGTTAAAATTTTTCACGTAATATGAAGGCCTGTTGCTAACATAACATTGTATATTTCTTTACTGGATTTTAAGCCTTGCTAAATAAAGTTAAGAATTAACGGCATCTTTATTGCCGTTAACCATCCCTTAATTACCTTGTAGCTAATATGTAAACTTCTGGCCACTTAGTCTGAGCAAATATTTAGTAAATAAAAAAATTAATTTGTAATATAAACAATAATAATGTTTTATTGTTATAGTGATATAATGTACATTATTATTTTTCTTTTCTTTAACGAACAGGCCATACAAAGGCAAGCAAAGCTTGACTGTGAAGAACAGGTCCGTAAAGTGCAGGAGCTACATGACATGATAGCTGCAGAGCGTGCAGAGGCTCGGTATAAGAAGCACTATTTAATCTGCCAAGAAGTGACGGACAAGATTGTAGATCTTGCCACCAAAACAGGGGAATACAGAGAGCTCACTAACAGGTAGCCATATTTCTAACCATGGTAAAATAAATAAAGGAAAAGAGACAGCGCCAGACAACCTGTAAGGCAGCAACCCAACAAGGGAATCCCCCCAAAACCCTAAAATACAGGATAAAAGCAAAATATAAAAGGAGGGCGGCGCCAGAATAAACAGTGTCCAGTATCAATAGTTATTGAAGATAAAAAGTCCGACCTAAAAAGGTATCCTCTCTGTCGTCTTTAGGTACAGGAACGCGATCTTCAGGTAATATATAAAAGATAAAAGGAGAGAACAAACAATGGTGCAGAATGTACGGTTCAAATGAAGTCAAAATTGATTAATGATAACGAACTCACAATTTCCAGAGCTTCTGTCCAGCTCTAGGGTAAAGCGCACACAGCGGTATAATCCCCGCTTATGGGATTTATGATGGGTTCGTCAGGGTATCCAAAACTCAAAGGGAACAGAAACAGCCAAATAGTGCTCTCTGTATAACTATATATTGTAAAAGAGAATAAAAAAACGTACTTACAAGTACAGAGCAGACCAACTGCTCTTTGATGTCAGCGCTGGTGGAATAATCCCCACCTATGGATTTCTTTGATTGTCAGGAACTTGTAGAGATAGTATTAAAATCAGAATAGTGTATATAAAATATAACAATGAACTAAAAAGATAAATAGCCAGGGTACATGTATAAATAAAAGTAGTTGGGACTATCAGTTAACCAAAAACTTTAATATTTATTATACAAAATTAAATTTCCATAACGCGTTTTGTCTAACAGACTTTATCAAATGGAATGTCAATGAACTAAAAAGATAAATAGCCAGGGTACATGCATAAATAAAAGTAGTTGGGACTATCAGTTAACCAAAAACTTTAATATTTATTATACAAAATTAAATTTCCATAACGCGTTTTGTCTAACAGACTTTATCAAATGGAATGTCAATGAACTAAAAAGATAAATAGCCAGGGTACATGTATAAATAAAAGTAGTTGGGACTATCAGTTAACCAAAAACTTTAATATTTATTATACAAAATTAAATTTCCATAACGCGTTTTGTCTAACAGACTTTATCAAATGGAATGTCAATGAACTAAAAAGATAAATAGCCAGGGTACATGTATAAATAAAAGTAGTTGGGACTATCAGTTAACCAAAAACTTTAATATTTATTATACAAAATTAAATTTCCATAACGCGTTTTGTCTAACAGACTTTATCAAATGGAATGTCATTCCATTTGATAAAGTCTGTTAGACGAAACGCATTATGGAAATTTAATTTTGTATAATAAATATTAAAGTTTTCCATAACGCGTTTTGTCTAACAGACTTTATCAAATGGAATGTCATTCCATTTGATAAAGTCTGTTAGACGAAACGCATTATGGAAATTTAATTTTGTATAATAAATATTAAAGTTTTTGGTTAACTGATAGTCCCAACTACTTTTATTTATACATGTACCCTGGCTATTTATCTTTTTAGCTCATTGTTATATTTTATATACACTCTATTCTGATTTTAATACTATCTCTACAAGTTCCTGACAACCAAAGAAATCCATAGGTGGGGATTATTCCACCAGCGCTGACATCAAAGAGCAGTTGGTCTGCTCTGTACTTGTAAGTACGTTTTTTTATTCTCTTTTACAATATACATTTATACAGAGAGCACTATTTGGCTGTTTCTGTTCCATTTGAGTTTTGGATACCCTGACGAACCCATCATAAATCCCATAAGCGGGGATTATACCGCTGTGTGCACTTTACCCTAGAGCTGGACAGAAGCTCTGGAAATTGTGAGTTCGTTATCATTAATCAATTTTGACTTCATTTGAACCGTACATTCTGCACCATTGTTTGTTCTCTCCTTTTATCTTTTATATATTACCTGAAGATCGCGTTCCTGTACCTAAAGACGACAGAGAGGATACCTTTTTAGGTCGGACTTTTTATCTTCAATAACTATTGATACTGGACACTGTTTATTCTGGCGCAGCCCTCCTTTTATATTTCTAACCATACCCAGTTAAACAATGCATATAATTCGATCTTGATCGTTATTTTATTTCATTTGTACTGTATCACTCAGGGGCTCTAAACCTCCTGTATTCACTGAAATCTCCCCTAGCTTAATATATTTTCTGTAAATACAGCTGTGCCATGAAATGTGTTGGTCCATAATAAATACAATTTACAATTTAGGAACAATTTAAATTCATGTGCATTCAATGCAACCAATTTAACTAATTTAATGTGTAATATAATAATGTAATGTCATGTTGTGTCTAATCATGTAAAACACATCATTTAAAACTGTTGATCTAAAGAAAACAAAATAAATTTGTAGTGATGGCCAAAAAAAACCATGGCCATCAAACGTGGAAAAAAAAATTAGGTTACTCCTTGAAGCAACAGCCTGTTTGCATACATATTAATTATATATATATTTTTAAAAAGCATACCCCCTCACTATCATCCCATGTTACTTCATATAACTTCCCTCACATGTCACCCCTTTTCCTTCATATATATCTACACTTTTATACAATTCTATAGTATTCAGAATTACTATCTGGAGAGCTGCCTCCCCAAATGCCCCTATGGATAAGCCTTCACTCTGCCTCGGATTGGAAATGTGTAGATAGGATGGGGCATGGTACTATTCCATGCTGCTTGAACTCAGAACTAGGCCTCTTGTTGGTCTCCCAAATGCTCTAGACATGGTTTTACACTTTTGAAGAGTTTATGGTTTTTCCTACTAATTATTTTGCTACTTTTATTTTTTTTGTCAGGTTAATTCCTGCTAAGTTAATGCGAGAATGGAAGGAGCTATTTTTCACTGGATATTCCCTCTATGAAGAAGCATCTGTAGACCCACTGCCCTCAGAGCCAACACCAGAACAGCTCCTGGAACTGGAGAAGGAGGGGATACTGGATGAAAAAGACTATGACGAATACAAGGTACACATGGAAAATGTCATATTGAACAACCCCCAGTAACTGTCATTGTTTATTGCCTGTATTTAGCTAAGTACCTTAATAAACATTAACTTTTAGCAGATTTGAGTTCTGCGATTTTGGTGTCCTCTTTTTACATGTCTATATGCCTACGGATTCCAACCAAATCACGGGTTCTGCATAGTAGAAAAATAGTAAAGTGTAAGATGCAAATCAAGTATTCTTTTTTATGTAAACACCCAGGTGCTGTTTAATTAAACACCGTTCCATTTCTTCAAGTTATTGAGGAAGAATGCATGCCTTTTATTATTATTTTTTTATTTTATGTAATACAGTTATATGCATCTGTATTACCAATGCAATTGACTGGTTCTATGAAGCCAAACTGTAGTTATATGTGAAATGTTATTTTGCTTTGCTGTTTTACACTTGGAACTGATGACCTGTCTTAACTCTGACCACAGAATTCTTCCCTCCATAATGTAAGTCTAGAGACAATTGCTGCAAAGATGTGCCCAAAAAGATTACTGTTAGCTTCAATTGTTTTACTCGTCGTTATGTTAAAGTAAGAGTCAATAGTAACGAAATGGAATTTTTAAAGCAGCAAATTGTGAGTAGCATGTAACTTTGAGCAGTTTTTCTTGGTACCTAAATTGTATATTGATTCTGAAACTACACCCGTAATAGAGGTGGCACTTTATAAACCCTTGGTGCTGAATCCAAAATTTGACTTTGCAACATCAATATCTTAGTAACCCTCATTGCTGTACTTGGCTGGTTCACTTCTTTTTCATTAAGGAAAAAAGCTTCACCCAAATTTATTATACAGGCTATCTATCTTTTCTGCTGCTGGTGTGATCTGACAGTCTCAGATGTTGTGGGTCTTGTTAACATTTTTTTTTCCTATAGTTGTTATAAAAAGGAATTAAAACAGTATTGTAGTCAGACACAAGTGAAAGTTTGAATGACAAGCGATAAAGGAGGGGAAAGGGGCCCCACAAATATTTATTTCTCATATGCTCCATGGGCTTTTAATGTCTGTTTCCCATGTTTAAACTACCGTTATATAGATCAGGGATAATCAACTCCCAGGATGCTTTGCCAGAATTAAAGCTGTAAGATGTACTCCACAACATCTGGAGTGATGGAAGTTGCCTACTCCTGATTTAGCCAAGCTAGGTATACCAAGAACAACCTAATCCAAGGCTCAATTGTCCACACCATCTTCATTTAAGTCCCTATTATTATTATTAGTATTATTATTATTATTGGTATTTATATAACGCCAACTAATTCCGCAGCGCTTTACAATATTATGAAAGGGTTATATTTATAATAAATTAAACACTTACACAGTGACACAGGAACAATAGGTAGATGAGGACCCTGCTCAAACGAGCTTACAGTCTAGATCTAAAGAAAATAAGCTGTATGCACAAATAGTTCATTCATGGTGCACTTGTGCTGCTCAGGATTCATTTGAGGTACAATGAATTTAAAATTACAAATATTTCAGGCCTAGCAACCTTTTATCAATGTGCAATGCTCACAAAGTGTATACAGTGACTTACACTAATAAATAGAACATCACCCACCAAGACCTTACATTCATGCCAAGTCCAAAGACTCTGCCCCTAGTCCATATGATCTATTCCACATGATGTCACTGCATGCACATTACCGGGGCAACCCGGTATGTTGTGCCCAAATATAGGTTAAATAAGATCTTACATAGCAAGATAATGCTTAAAACATATAGCAGATATATTTGTTAGAAGAGCAAACTATTTAATCACTGAATTGAGCCTGGAGCTAGCCTCTATATGCACTTTATGTTAGTTTGAAATACAGGTGACACTCAAAAAATTAGAATATCGTGAAAAAGTTCATTTATTTCAGTAATGCAACGTAAAAGGGGAAACTAATATATGAGATAGACGCATTACATGCAAAGCAAGATCGTTCAAGCCGTGAGTTGTCTATCTCATATATTAGTTTCCCCTTTTACGTTGCATTACTGAAATAAATTACATTTTTCACGATATTAAAATTTTTAGAGTATCACCTGTAGGTCATTATTCTGTCAAAGAGAAGATTATCATTTGTTCTTGTAAATTATCTTTATCACCAGATCAAGATGTTTTGTGTTAATTTAAAGTTGTGTATTATAAGTTTTCTACATAGTTTAGCTACATTTGTACTTAATTCATGAATGAAAACCATCCCTCGACCCATCTAACCCCTCTTACTATCGTCCCATATCCCTGCTCCCTGCCTATGGAACAGCCTGTCTACCGCCTTCAGACTCTCCCCTAGTCTTCAATCATTTAAGAAGTGCCTTAAAACCCATCTTTTTAGGAAAGCTTATGGCCTCCCAGAGTAACCTTTACCTCACATAGCTGTCTCTTGCTCTCTACTTAAGGGCAGCACTCTATTCTCTCTTCCAGCTCTTCTTCACTCCTACCTATATTGATTGCTATTTCCTGTCCTATTGTGGTTTACTACCCATCACCTATAGACTGTAAGCTCGTTTGAGCTGGGTCCTCTTCCACCTATCGTTCCTGTAAGTTTTCTTGTAATTTTCCTATTTATAGCTAAATCCCCCCTCTTATAATGTTGTACAGCGCTACGGAATCTGTTGGTGCTATTAAAATGGCAATAATAATAATAATAACAGAAAAGACCCTTGGGAAGGTTTAGTTTTCAATACATTCTTGTTATAAAAAAATAAATAAATCACGATGCACATCCTAAACAAAATTGCTTTGTGTGCCTCTACTATGGACAAGTATGTGACCATCAAGGCAGTTAGTGCTATCAAACCTTTAAATGTATAATCATATAGCGTTATTTCTGTTATTACTTTTAAAACACAAAGTTACTGGCAGGTATTTGGTTTTGGTAATGTTTTGTTTTTTTTGTGTTTTTTTTTTTATTTTTGACTTGTTTGGAAAATATTTACCACAACAGTCATGCATGTTTTACCCACTTCCTGAAACTGCAAGTCTGTTTTTGTTCTCTCCGGAAGTCATAAAGCAATCTAATGTAGGCTGGAGTTAGCGGATTACTGTCACCTGAACTTCTTTTCATCTCCCTTCCTTCCTTAGGTTGTTTTGTTTCAAGTATATATATATAATGTGCTGTCAAACTCAAACTAGCAGGCATTCTTAAAAAAACACAACCCAAAACATAATATGTAGAAAAAAACTACACTGAATTTAAAGATGTTAAATTCTATTTTTCAATGAGACCAATCTTCAGTCAACCAGTTTCTTGTGGCTGTAGTTAGTCTAAAATGTACTCACTGTGTACTTTAGCGAATCTATATGTGCATCTTTGGTATCTGTACAAATGTCTCATTTTTGGAGGCCACTGCAATTTAATTTAGAAAAAAAGACAGTTTGTATGCAATTTATCACTAAAGTGAGAATTCAAAGTGAATTCAACGTGAATTTGAAATTTAAAGGGACACTATAGGCACCCAGACTACTTTAGGTCATTGAAGTGGTCTGGGTGCAGTGTCCCAGTCCCCTTAACCCTGCAATTGTAATCATTGCAGTTTTTTATAACCTTACCTTGGTGGGTTAACTCCACCTCTAGCTCTGTCTACCAGACAGCGACAAGAGGGACTTCTGGGTCATTAGGCGACTTTTGGTGAGGACATCCATCATCACCACTTACCCCATCGAAAAGCATTGTATAATGTTTCCCTATGGGAGAAGTCCAAATGCGAGAGAAGGGGTTTTTCACCCCTTCTGCACCACAGGCGACTGGATTGCCGTGACAGAGGGGGGCACTATAGGGAGCTTTGTTTTCCTGACACTACAGTTTCCCTTCAAGATCAAAATAGCCAAATTGAAAAAATTTCTCTCAGTCAGCTATGCTATCAGTTCAGCTACTCAAGCCTCACCAGGCCCGGACTGGCCATCGGGCACACCGGGCAAATGCCCGGTGGGCCGCGGTGTCCGTGGGGCCGAGGCCGGCAGGGGAGGTCCCAGGATCTCCCCTGCCGGTCTATGCAGGGCTGGCACTCTCCGAGCGCCGGCCCCGCTGTCTGCCACGACGGGCCGGTGGGGAGATCAAAGATCTCCCTCACCGGCCCACATGCGGCCGCCGGCGGGGAGGGAGGGAGACAGCCAGCCAGGCTGGAGAGAGGACCCGGCGGAGCTCTAATTTGCGGCTCCGCCGGGATCCTCTCGCGAGATCCGGCGCGTTGCCATGGCAACGACCGGATCTCGCGAGGAGTTCACTCACCCATGAGGACCACCAGGGAACACTGCCTCCCCGCCTCCAGTCCCAGCGTGCCGGTCCCCCCCTCCCAGGCTAAAGGTAAGAAGGGAGGGGGGGGAATAATACCTGTTTTTTTTTTATTATTTACCCCCCCTACATACACACAATAACATTTATACAGCACTCTCACACCCATCACACACTGAGCCACATATGCATCACATTACACCACAAACACAACACGACTAAAACTGACCTTATTACACAATACCACACCACGACCAGCTCACTCTACACACACGCAATACCACAAGCAGGCTCCAAACACATGCACAATACTCTTTCCTGGCCTTTTGTCTTCTGGTATCCATTTATAGAGACACCAGAGACAAGTTGCAAGGAAAGACAGTGCAAGCATGTTATTAAATTTGCTTGCACTGTGCAGAACAAATACAGGATTTTTTTCTCATGCTAGAGCTCTTCAGCAGAGCTCTGCGCATGGTCTGCCCTGGAAGAGCATTGAACCAACATGCTCACTTTGAGAGGAGGCGTGTTTGTCATTGGTGATGACAAAACACACCTCCTATGCCCCGCCCCCTTTTTAGTGGGCCGCTGTGTTAAAAAAATGCCCGGGCCGAATTTTTCTCCCAGTCCGGCCCTGCTCACACCCATCACTCACACCGCACCCTCACACACACACATACTGCACCCCTCACATACACACAGAACCCCCCCAACACACTGCACCACACACATACACAATACTTCCAAATATATATATGTGTGTGTGTGTGTGTGTGTGTGTGTGTGTATATATATGTATATACACACACACACACACACACACACACACACAACACTCTTAAAGGACCACTCTAGGACCACTCTAGCCACCCAGAACACTTCAGCTTAATGAAGTGGTCTTGGTGCCAGGTCCTTCTAGAGTTAACCCATTGTTTTATAAACATAGCAGTTTCAGAGAAACTGCTATGTTTATCAATGGGTTAAGCCTTCCCCCAAAGCCTCTAGCAGCTGTCTCATTGACCGCCGCTAGAGGCGCTTGCGTGCTTTGCACGCAAGCGTCCATAGGAAAGCATTTAAATGCTTTCCTATGCGACCGGCTGAATGCGAGCGCAGCTCTTGCTGCGCGTGCGCATTCAGCCGACGGGGCGGATCGGAGGAGGAGAGCTCCCCGCCCGGCGCTGGAAAAAGGTAAGTTTTAACCCCTTTCCAGAGCCGGGCGGGAGGGGGTCCCTGAGCCACATATGCATCACATTACACCACAAACACAACACGACTAAAACCGACCTTATTACACAATACCACACCACGACCAGCTCACTCTACACACACGCAATACCACAAGCAGGCTCCAAACACATGCACAATACTCTTTCCTGGCCTTTTGTCTCCTGGTATCCATTTATAGAGACACCAGAGACAAGTTGCAAGGAAAGACAGTGCAAGCATGTTATTAAATTTGCTTGCACTGTGCAGAACAAATACAGGACTTTTTTCTCATGCTAGAGCTCTTCAGCAGAGCTCTGCGCATGGTCTGCCCTGGAAGAGCATTGAACCAACATTCTCACTTTGAGAGGAGGCGTGTTTGTCATTGGTGATGACAAAACACACCTCCTATGCCCCGCCCCCTTTTTAGTGGGCCGCTGTGTTAAAAAAATGCCCGGGCCGAATTTTTCTCCCAGTCCGGCCCTGCTTTTGTGGTATATCTGAGATATATATTGAGATATTGTTCGATACTCTACATGAGGACTCTAGGTGGTTTGTATATAATTAGATGTAAGTGATCCTATTGTCCTTTTAGGTGGTGGTTATATACACATTGCAATTCCCTCTCTACTGATTAATTTGTTTTATTCCACTGAACGGTTGGCCTGAAATCCAAACAATTTGTGCACAATGAGTTGAGCTAAACTTTTTAAAACCTTATTTTCTCCATTAATTGAGTTGGAGAAATGCGTGTGCAGGGCTCCAGTTGAATAGGCCGAATGCAGCAAATGTCAGCAATATTTAGCGTGAGCACGAATCTTCCTTTGATTTTATTGGGGAGCTCCAGCCTGCGCAGTACATAAAGTAAATGATGTCGGCGTGCTGCTCTGCTGGCGAGGAGGGTGAAGACAAGGGTTGTCATGGCGTCTTTCAAGGGACAAGCCTTATCTTTGAATGAGACTGGTAAGTATATATTTTTTATATTTACCTGTTTATCATTCTTATCATTTCCACACCCACATCTAACGTAAATGTGCATTAGACATGTCTGGCATATTCACACATGTGCAACTGGTCTACCACTTTACCTTCCAACATTCTGGCATCATCATCCAACGTGTGTTGAAGTGGTCCATGATGATATATGTGGGTGTTGATTAGGTAGGAAGTAGGTCTGGAAATCAGAGTATAAACCTTTCATTAAAGCTGGGGTCGCCGTGAATGCTCATAGTAAAGTCAATATTATCTATGATATGATTGGTGGAGAGTGATGCAACCTGGCTCTGATAATCAGTTTGTTGTGGCTGTGAGTGGTGGTTTTCCTCTTGGATGTTACATAGTTACGTAATTGAAAAGAGACCATCAAGTTCAGCCTTCCGCACATTTGTTTTTTTGCTGTTGATCCAAAAGAAGGCAAAAATGAATGTATTAATTTATACATGTCCTCAGCCTTACTATCAAACTGATCATTCAGAACTGTGAGCGGAAAAGGTTAGCAGTAACTCAAAAAGGTAACATTATAGCTTTGTCTTTCACTTCCCATTGGCTGAGCATAATGAGCAGACATGCACCGTCCTGCTCTACATCAGATACACGATAACAGCATCTTAAAGAATTAAATGTTCTGTGCTCAGTGTCTACAACAGGGATAGGCAACCGTCGGCATTCCAGATGTTGTGGACTACATCCCCCATAATGCTCTTGCACACATGATGCTGGCAAAGCATCATGGGAGGTGTAGTCCAAAACATCTGCAGTGCCAAAGGTTGCTTATGCCTGGTCTACAATATCATAAGACACCGGTCATCTCTGGTGGGGAAAGCAGACATTAATTTATAGCAGAAAACAACACAAGACTATGAAATAAACAGAGAATGGGTTGGGCCAGTCTGATATGTTTCAGAGATGTTCCCTCTGTAATGGCACAAGATGAGCTAAAGCCAGCTTGAGAACTGAGCGGGGACCCAACGAAGGGCAGGCTATTTCAGCTGCTGCCCGTTCTCAGTATTCTCTTGCGACCTGTTTTTTGCTTTACAGATAACTATAAGGAACCTGGGCCTCAGTTTAATAGTTTTTGATAAGGTTTTCAAATGATCACAATCTGTAAGAAAAAACTCTACCATTGATTTATCTATTTAACTACACAATTCCCATAGACGTTAATAGTGACTTCTATAGCTAAATCATCTGACAGGTTGTGGTTATCAAAAAAATAAGTAAAGGGGGCCTTGTTTGGACAGTTGAGTGACAGTATGTACTTTGTGTTAGTGCATCGACCTTTCTGCGCCTGTTTATACAGCTCCCAGAGTGTTCCTTTATTGGAAACACAATGATTAGTAATATCAGATACTGTAAGAATGATCTGTATTGTACAATATGTTCGAGGTGTGGACCTCTGGGAGCTGAGACAATGATAATTCCTTTACAAAACTTCATTTAAAAGCTCACTGGAGGAGACAGAGCTCTCGCCTCATTTCCCTTTTACAATAGATTAATTACGTGTTATCGCTGATTTCCCATAGCAAGAGCCAAGCACTGGGCAGGTTTTGACCCACTTACATTACAAACAGTTGTCTGAGTAGCTTTACATCCACACGTCCGAAGCAATTTGAATTTCAAATGCTGAACCTGTTTTACTTTAATGTATCTGTGTAATTAAAAAGGATCAGTGAAATTTAACCTAGAATTCACATCCTTTTACGATGTAGACAAACAGATGATATCCATGGAATGCTACTTTGGGATTTATTTATTACATTCTAACTTGGTGTGGGAGGCTCAGACAGACAGGCTATATTTCAGTTTTGGATATTTTAATTGGCCACTCACTATAAAAGTGAAATTCGGTGAACTGAAAAAACCCCCATCAAAAACCATAATATATTGGTCAAGTTGTTAATTGATTTTTGTCTTAATCAGTTATATTGGCTGAAATTTTGAAATTATTAGTTAAAAGCTCAATTTGCTTTTGGAATAATATGGTCCGTGGATCCAGACACATAATGGGGTGACGTGGGCTGACCTTCACTGACATGCACTGGTGTGGGCTAACTCCGAAGTAGGGGCACTGGGTAGCAAATGGCAATTAGGTTCCCAGTGGGTAGGTGACTGTACATAGATTATGTGTCACTTAGAGCTCCTGAATTTATACAATTTAAAGTCTGCACTCCAAGCACTATAGCTACTAGGGCTAATCATAGCAGTTTGGGTACAATTCCTCTGGTTTATATCAAACCCTTTAAAGGGACACTGTAGGCACCCAGACCACTTCAGCTCATTGGAGTGGTCTTGGTGCAGTGTCCTTATTGCCCTAAGTGCTTCAATGTTAAACAGTTCCAGAGAAACTCAATGTTTACGTTGCAGCACTAAGTCTGCTTCCAGTGGCTGTCTCTCCATAGGAAACCAGAATTTTCCCCATAGGAAAGCATTGATGCACGTGTGGCAGTTACAGTTACATTAGTGCCTGTTCGTCGCTGGACATCGGAGGAGACAGAGCCCCAACCCTGTGCTGAGGGACATCGGCACTGAGAGCAGGTAAGTAAATAAAGTGTTTATAAACCCTTTATTCACTGTCTGGGGGGGACGCGAGGGAGGGGGGAGGCAGGAGAGCTATAGTGCCAGGAATACAGCTTTGTATATCTGGCACTTATAGTATCCCTTTAAAGTAATGTCTCTACAGTCCCCCCATGTATCTTAGCAATCCCCCCATGTATCTATTGTCATGTTCCGCAAACCATTCCTGAACAATTTTTGCAGTGTGGCAGGGTGCAGTATCCTGCTGAAAGAGGCCACTGCCATTAGGGAAACTATTGCCACGAAGTGGTGTACGTGGTCTGTAACAATCTCTAGGTAGGTGGTACGTGTCAAAGTAAATGCCAGGACTCAAGGTCTCCCAGCAGAACATTGCTCAGAGCATAACACTTCTTCCGCCGGCTTGCCTTCTTCCCATAGTGCACCCTGCTGCCATCTCTACCCCAGGTAAACAATGTACACACATCCGGTCATCCAACTTATCTAAAAGAAAATGTGATTCATCAGACCAAGCAACCTTCTTCCATTGCTCAATAGTCCAGTTCTGACGATCACATCCCCATTCAAGAGGTCATGCGTTTAGACTAGAAGAAAGAAGATTTAGTCTAAGGCAAAGGAAAGGTTTTTTTACTGTAAGAACAATAAGGATGTGGAATTCTCTGCCTGAAGAAGTGGTTTTATCAGAGTCCATACAGATGTTCAAACAGCTACCAGATGCATACTTGCAAAAACAGAATATTCAAGGATATAATCTTTCAATGTAGGGTAATAACTGCTTGATCCAAGGATAAATCTGACTGCCATTCTGGGGTCAAGAAGGAATTTTTTTCCCCTAGTTTGTTGCAAAATTGGAAATGCTTCAAACTGGGTTTTTTTTTTGCCTTCTTTTGGATCAACAGCAAAAAACGTGAGGAAGGCTGAACTTTATGGACGCAAGTCTCTTTTCAGCTATGTAACTATGTAACTATGTGTGTCCTGACTTCTTTCTATCATGGCCAGCATTTAATACATGATCTTTTCGCTTGCCCATTTTTCCTGCTTCCAACCCATGAAATTCAAGAACTGACTGTTCACTTGCTGCCTATAATAATAAGTAATAACAAGTATTGACAAATAAAAGAGATGTAGAGAGCCCAGCTCAATTGAGCTTACAGGTAATCATTACCCAGTGGACCAAGATTTCAGACAGCAACTAATGGGAGAAAAGCTAGTGGCTTTCGACAATTAAATCAATGCCCAGCTTGTTCCATAATCTTGGTAATCGATGACTGGGCTTAACCATAGTGTTTGATAGAAAAAAGGAACCTGGTAATACCCACAATGTGTAATAATGCACAATAATGTGTGTCTACGTAATAAAAGAGAACAGTGGTGATACGGACATGGTTGTGGTAGGTGTCTCCAGTTGATGTCCCCCTGTAAGACCAAGATTGATGTTTCATTTATGGAGATAATGTAGTGCCTGAGTCACCATGTTGGGTCAGAGTATGTGCTTCCCACACCAGCTGGTCACCAACTGAGGGCAACAGAGATGTCAGACCCAAGTCCTCTCTTTCTTCATGACAGTGATAGTGGGTCAGGCAGCTCTGGTGGGGCAGCCGGTGAGTGATTAGTAGATAAGGGAGAATGCTTGGCGAGGCGTTATCAGAGAATGTGATGGGTTTGGTAACATATTACCTGCTCGCTCACATACTTTATCAGTGACATCAGGAGGTAACGCTCGGCATTTCCCAATTCTGCACCTTCCCGTGTTCAGACACCACTCTTATCACATAAAGCAAACAGGCTCTGCAATGAAATGTGTGGGAATATATCTGCGGTATGTCGGGATCCAGAACATTGTGCGCTTCAAAAATAAGTCACATACTTTATTGATCAAAATTTCAAGTGAATGATTTGGAGAATGGACAAAGGTGACTAAATATGTCTTCCCTATAACACTCTGTGAAAGGAGAATGTTCAAACCGCAACTTTAGATACTAAGAGTGAGACGTGAATGTGTCACCATCAACAACCATGAACTAAACGAATTCAGAAGAAACTAAAATATATTTATAAAAAAAAAAAACTATTGTATAGAGCAGTAATTCCTAAACTTTTTAGCTTCAAGGCGCCCTAAATATCTCAATATTTTTCAAAGGCACCTCAAGTTAAAATTTCTGTGTTGTATATCTGTACAGCGCAGCTGCATTTACTGGCGCTATAGTGTAATGTTGGTGTTTAAAGGTGTGCTTGTATATAAATTTTGTGTTTTAATACAGGGGTGTGTTTGTATGTAATGTTTGTGTTTGATTGCAGGGGTGTGTCTGAATTTAGTGTTCACTTTTATATGCGGATGTACATCTGTGTGAAGTATTTGTGTTTGAGTAAAGGGGTGTGCTTGTATATCATTTTGGAGTTTGAATGCAGCAGTATGTTTGTATGTAATGTTTGTGTTTGATTGCAGGGGTATGTTTGTATGTAATATTTGTGATAGATTGCAGGAGTGTGTTTGTATGTTGTGCTGGTGTATAAATGCTTGGATGTATGCACATACATACATACACACATACATACTTACAGATATACATGCACATTAACACACAGATACATATTTATACACCGACACATACACACAAATTTATATAGACACTGACACATACACACACACTGACATATACACACATCCTGACACACACAACCATTGATACATGCACACACCATGATACAGATACAAAAACAAAACCCAAAAAGGAAGGTATAGTTTGCGGCGCTAAAACAGCTGCTAGAACACACCAATAGGACTTAACCACAGAGGTCCTACAAGAGACAAATCACAGCTATACAGAATAGTGTGCAGCGCATAAAAAATATATTCACAAGAACCACATATAAGTGAAAACTTCCACCTTAAATGAATAGATAATAATAAATAAGTACCCCAATGAAATCGTTATCAGAAAGGGTATGCCTTATCTATAAAAAATAGAAAGATCATAGCATAACACTGTGGTAATGAATAGGTTGAATAAAGCAATCTGTATGGTCCAACTCACATATAGTAGAGCCTGTTACAAACTGGCTCAGGTATAGTTGCTTAAACAGGATATCCTCAAATGGAATCACGAAAGCTGCAGCTTGATCCTCAATATAAAGTGCATAGACATCAATTAGAAGAATAGCAGCAGTACAATTTATTAAAATCAATAGTAAAAGCTTACATATAAATTTCTGGAAATCCAGCAAGTAGCACAACGCGTTTCGACGTTACAATACGTCTTCCTCAGGTGCAATTTTTATGCGCTGCACACTATTCTGTATAGCTATGATACAGATACACACTGGCATAAAAACATACACCCTGACACACAGATGTATGCGCGTACACCAGCACACACACTAACATATATACACACACACAGATACACACCCTGACTCACACACACAGATACACACCCTGACTCACACACACAGATGCACACCCTGACTCACACACTCATACTCACACATACACATGTGATTTTTTTTTATTTCTCCAGCCACCCTCCTGCTAGCTTACTTTGTGTGTCCAGAAGGGTGGCTTGGAGTCCTGATCCTGCTCTTGGAGTGCTCCTCTTCCCCTTAGTGTGGATGCCTCCTCCCCCTCAGGCTGACACTACAGGTGCCAGGTCGAAGTCTTAAAGCACCGTGGCACCCGACCAGGCTCCTGTTCAGCAGTTATGTTTCCCGGTGCTATAATCATTATACTATTGCAGCACCCTGGCACACAGTTTGGGAATCACTAGTAGAGAGCTATAAATTCTGTATTAAAACTCATAGAATTACAGTAATAGCAAGTCAGAGCAAACTGATTAGCAAAGCCATCAATGATAAATGTACAATGTGCCAGAAACGAGATGATATAATATGGCCACAACATGCTCAGCTGTCCAACGCAGTGAATTATCCTTCACAATAACATGATACGCCATCTTGCTATTGAACCCAGATATCTCAGAAGTTCTGGTAATATAGCCATATCCAGTAAAATGTAATAATGCACCAAGAAACGCAATATGGAGCTGTACTCTCCGCACGTCTTCCACCATGGACAATACATATATGTGTGTGTGTGGATATTATATTATGGAAAACCACCCGTCCCAATTAGCAAATAAAAGTGAACAGCAAACAGTGTCCCAAATAAACTTTATTTTTATTTAACAAACGACAACGATATCTAAGACGATCACCTAATATACAACACTCAGTTTAACAATGTGACAAGATATCCAGGACATTATAACATCACACACAGCCATATTGCACTCAGCCATATCGCACTCAGCCATACCGCACTCAGCCATAATATACAACACTCAGTTTAACAATGTGACAAGATATCCAGGACATTATAACATCACACTCAGCCATATTGCACTCAGCCATATCACACTCAGCCATACCGCACTCAGCCATATTGCACTCAGCCATATCGCACTCAGCCATACCGCACTCAGCCATACCGCACACAGCCATACCGCACTCAGCCATAATATACAACACTCAGTTTAACAATGTGACAAGATATCCAGGACATTATAACATCACACTCAGCCATATTGCACACAGCCATACTGCACACAGCCATATCGAAAAACAGCCATACCGCACTCAGCCATATCGCACACAGCCATATCGCACACAGCCATACCGCACTCAGCCATATCGCACACAGCCATACCGCACACAGCCATATCACACTCAGCCATACCGCACTCAGCCATATCGCACTCAGCCATATCGCACACAGCCATACCGCACTCAGCCATATCGCACTCAGCCATATCGCACACAGCCATACCGCACACAGCCATATCGCACTCAGCCATACCGCACTCAGCCATATCGCACACAGCCATATCGCACTCAGCCATATCGCACACAGCCATATCGCACTCAGCCATATCGCACTCAGCCATATCGCACACAGCCATACCGCACTCAACCATAATATACAACACTCAGTTTAACAATGTGACAAGATATCCAGGACATTATAACATCACACTCAGCCATATCGCACTCAGCCATACCGCTCTCAGCCATACCGCACACAGCCATACCGCACACAGCCTTACTGCACACAGCCTTACTGCACTCAGCCATATCGCACTAAGCCTTACTGCACACAGCCATACCGCACACAGCCATACCGCACTCAGCCATACCGCACTCAGCCATACCGCACACAGCCTTATTGCACTCAGCCATATCGCACACAGCCTTACTGCACTCAGCCATATTGCACTAAGCCTTACTGCACTCAGCCATACCGCACACAGCCATACCGCACACAGCCATACCGCACTCAGCCATACCGCACATGCCCTGCTCAGCCATATAGTACTCAGCCATATCGCACTCAGCCATACGCACACAGCCATGGCGCACACAGCCTTACTGCACTCAGCCATATGGCACTAAGCCTTACTGCACTCAGCCATATCGTACTCAACCATACCGCACACAGCCATACCAACACAGCCATACCGCTTTACAGCCAGCCTTACTGCACTCCACCCATATCGCGCCTAAGCCTTACTGCACTCAGCCATATCGCACACAGCCATACCGCACACAGCCTTACCGCACTCACCCATATCGCACTAAGCCTTACTGCACTCAGCCATATCGCACTCAGCCATATCGCACTCAGCCATACCGCACACAGCCATACCGCACACAGCCTTACTGCACTCAGCCATATCGCACTAAGCCTTACTGCACTCAGCCATATCGCACTAAGCCTTACTGCACTCAGCCATATCACACTCAGCCATACCGCACAAAGCCAAACTGCACTCAGCCATATCGCACTCAGCCATACTGCATACAGCCATACCGCACACAGCCATATCGCACTCAGCCATACCGCACACAGCCATACCGCACACAGCCTTACCGCACTCACCCATATCGCACTAAGCCTTACTGCACTCAGCCATATCGCACTCAGCCATACTGCACTCAGCCATACCGCACACAGCCATACCGCACACAGCCTTACTGCACTCAGCCATATCGCACTAAGCCTTACTGCACTCAGCCATATCATACTCAGCCATACCGCACACAGCCATACCGCACACAGCCTTACTGCACTCAGCCATATCGCACTAAGCCTTACTGCACTCAGCCATATTGCACTCAGCCATATCGCACTCAGCCATACCGCACACAGCCAAACTGCACTCAGCCATATCGCACTAAGCCTTACTGCACTCAGCCATACTGCACACAGCCATACCGCACTCAGCCATACCGCACACAGCCATACTGCACTCAGCCATACCGCACACAGCCTTACTGCACTCAGCCATGCCGCACACAGCCATACCGCACACAGCCATACCGCACACAGCCTTACTGCACTCAGCCATATCGCACTCAGCCATATCGCACTCAGCCATACCGCACTCAGCCATATCGCACTCAGCCACATCTCACTCAGCCATACCGCACTCAGCCACATCGCACTCAGCTTTCCGATGTGTCCACCAGAATAAATTTGCCGACAGCTTGCCAAAAAACAACTAGATACTCGGTGAAATCATATACAGTGGCCCATCCGGATTGATACTCTTTGCATTAGAGGAAGTGATGGCCTGCACCCGGGAGGGGGTCGTGTCAATCTGTAACCTGGGCTCAGGGTTATTTACTAACGAGGGGATTGTTGGGAATTCAAAGTAAATTTTACATTAAAGTTCAAAGTAGTCCAAACAGGAAGCTTAGCAAACCTGGGCATTGATATAATATTTTTAGATAAACTTTTAGAATGATTTAAGATGAGGAAAAATATCTTCATTTTTAATATTTGGTACGGCTACTGTGGCCTTAAATTTGAAATTCACTTTGAAACCACTTTAAATTCTCACTTTAGTAAATAACACTTTTAGAGTTATATTAGAAATATAATTTAGGTTTACTCTGCTTGACTCCTAAACAATGCAAAGTCCATATATAGATATTTTGGTATTGATTTTCTACACCTCCCAATGGAACCACCGATTCCTGGAACTTCCATGCACAAGGGCATCCTAATCAAAACGTGAAAGGACCTCACTAGTGGCACCTCGAAATTGGGGACCTCGCTAAGCCAATAATCAGTATGTAACGGCAGGTCTGCATGGGGTTAACAAACCCATTTCCTTTCCTCAGGCATGGGAAGTATGCAAAGATTTGAT